TGTGATCAGAAATAATATGTAGGTGATGGTTTTAGTGTTTTTAACTCAGTGATGTGAAATAATGATTAAACCATTGTCTGTATGTGCCAAATATGAAAATTTTGGAAAAGTGGTTAGAAGAATATTAAAAATGATTAAATATTTAGAATTTGGGACTGAGTCTTAATGTACTTGCCTGCACTGCACCGAGTTCTGTCTAAAAACAGATTTATCATTGAGCCACTCCGTTAAAATTTGTTTGAACAAATAACTAAGTCAAAAGTTGAGTACAGAAAAGTTTGTAACGATGACAATGAATTCTATTTTTCTGTCATTTTAAATTACATACAGTACTTCTCCTGTGAAACATAGCGTATTTTTACAGATCCTCAAAATTTTATTTCCAGTTTTAGTGTTAGAAATTTTTATTGGTTAGCAGATGGTTAGGAAAGCCTTATACGCCCCCTCATATCTGTTAAAAAATGAGTTCATGTGCGATATATATACGTACTCAAATATGTTCTTACTTAGGCTTTCCTGTCAGGAATTGATAAATAGTTACAGTTTGCTCAAAATGAGAAAGACTACAACCCTTGATTTCTGCACTTAAAATGAGCAGGAAGACATGTTAACATTGTAAACTTTGTGTACTACTTGCTTAAATCATGCCATCGCTTATTTTCTATTTCACTTGTATTTTTTTAAGGTTGACAACACAAAAGCATACATTTCCATACATATGTCGTGTTTACTACATTATCTAAACCACTCCTGTTCTAACCTAGTGGTTCTCCAACAGATTTCATCCTCAGAATCACCTGTGAAGGCAGTTCAAACTGAGATAGCTGTCTGGGTGTACACTCCCAGACTTTCTGAATCTGATGGTTTTGGGTGGGGCCTGATTGACTCGAATTTTTAACGAGTTTCAGTTGATGCTGTTGGTAGGAGGGCTGCATTTTGAAAGCCACCGTTTTATCTTGACTCATCTGTTCATCTTCATAAATATAAGACTCGTCTCTTGAAAGTTGAAGTGTCCCAAATAGATATAGTATCTGTTTCTTTATGATGAGCAGCAATTTGTAATTTCTTCAGATCGTAATCAGAGGTCCACTTATTTTTAAAGCCCTCTTTTTCCTCTTCTGCTTTGTTCTCATTCATACTCGAGTTTTATGCTCAACACTTAAGAAAGCATGGGTAACTTGCATAAGAGGTCCAAATGGCATTACCAAAATATACTGATATTTTAATTGTTAATGCAATGATACCGTTATGATGAATTTTACCAGTATTGCTAAATAAAAATCTTGTTTTATGTGGGGCAAGGGGAAGAAAGTCATGCCGAGACTTTGCCCAGTACTGAGAGTACAAGCTGTTGAACATGTTTCCTTTCTTGGCTTAGCAGTGCCTTTTCCGTTTTCATTAGAATGAAAACTTGAAGTTGAGCCCTTGGTGAGAATTCACTTTGGTTCTGTGGCTAAGTAATTGCTTTCTCTTTCCGGATCTTCTTAAATGATAGCTATTTACAGTTTTACAGTCTTAACCAATAGCATATTGGTTAAGGAATTTTCAGATTTTTCTTAGCATTCACAACTCACATTGGGTATTTCCTTACTATGTTTGGAAACTTAAGGCTACTGCTTCATTCATTATAGAGTCTGTATTTTTAGTTCCATAATTTGGTCTTCTAAAAGCTTAGATTTATTTTCAAGATAGTGGTATGCAAAGCTCTGATTTTCTTATGCTTTTTACAGTTGTGTTTCTCTTCTTGCCGATTCTTTACTGTATTAGTCCTAAGTCTTCTGATTTTTCTCAAGATTAATTTCTTGTACTTCTAGTATATATGGAATTTCCAAATGTAAAATAAAAGATTTTAATATTTTGGGAGGCCGTAAATTCTAGAAATTAATGCAGTTTTATTTGTAGAAGCTTCATGAACTCTCCTTACCTTCAGTTTCGCTTAATCTTGTAGTTGTAGAATTAACACTTTGCTGTCTTAACATGGATGCTTTGTATAATGTGATTTTTTACAGAAATAAAAATCATGAGGTTGGTGTGAACTATTGCAATTGTTTTTGACATTAATTTGAACTGTGACTGTGGTTAGATGACTAAAGCAAAGTTGTTCAGAGAAAGAATAAATACGGGCAATTAGTTTTCCTTTTATGAGGTTGATCCTCTTTCAAACAAAATACAGTGGGACTGGAAATGCTTACCTCTCATACACTTCCTGCAACTTTTGGTGACATTGAGAAGCATAAAAGATTTCTAATCCGACATTAGTCCCATTCATTCGTCTGATTACTCCTAGTAGGAAGAAAACAGGGCAATTTCCAGTGTTTTCCTTACTTTTGGAAAATGGTACTCATTTTGAAGTTCTGCTTTTACCTTGGTATGAAGTCTTTCGTGCTTTTGGTCCACTTCAGCTTTCACTGCTTTCCCTTTTTCTTCCTCTGATGGTGATGTGAGAGGAGCCTTTGGTGAGAAGGGATAATTGTTGAGGTGTATAAGTTTAGTCACAAGTAGAAATGTTATTTTTGGAGATTGCTAGAATCAATATATTTGCAAGCCATTGAAGATAAAATAGAGTTTGACTGAGTGGTTATAAAATGTATACCGAGGGCGTATATGAAAAGGATATCTGACACATGGGAGTTTATATTTCTCCATTTCTGAAAGATGTGAGGGTAAGAGAAAGGGAAGAGTCCTACAGGTGTGAGTGAATACAAGGAGGAGGGAAAAAAAGACCTTTAATTGTTAACGGGGCCAGGTTGGTTATTGAGGATTCCTCAAGGCCTATCGAGAAATCTTAAACCCATCTCCTGTTCTGAACTTTAGGGTATACAATTGGTCCTGTGAGTCATGTTCAAATAATTCATATTCACTAATGGCTGATTTTTTCAAATGAGTGAGCCAATTTAAAAGAAAGAATGAAGCTGGGCTCGGTGGCTCAGCCTGTAATCCTGTGCCTTGGGAGGCTGAGGTGAGTGAATTACCTGAACCCATGGGTTGGAGATCTGCCTGGGCAACTTGGTGAGACCTCATCTCTGCAATAAATCAAAAAACTAGCCGGGTGTGATAGTGTGCGCCTGTAGTTCCAGCTACTTGGAAGACTGAGGCGGAAGGATTGCCGGAGCCCAGCAGGTCAAGACTGCAGTGGCCAAGAGTGGCCACTGCACTCCAGTCTGGGCAACAGAGTGAGACTCCAACTCAAAAAAAAAAAAAAAAAAGAAAAGAAAGAATGAGAGGAAAACATGATGTTACCGAGGACTGTGACACTATACCATTGACATTACCTGTACTCTTGAAAATTACAGCATATGGTTATGTTTTTTTAAAAAATAAATGCTGCACTGTATTATAGAGGAATCGTGATTAAAAATTATCATCGGTTTAATATTTTTACCAGCAACATCAGTTATAATTGTAGTTCATTGTTGAGGCCTTTGAATTGTAAAATGTACCCATTTAATCCTATAGAAGCTTTCAGGCTTTGCTACTCTTCAAAGAGGAAGCCACCTAGTTTTAAGGTGAAATGGCACCAATGTGATGACTTAACATTCCCTCTCCTCTTTAACATGGTTCACCTTCTCTGTCCTTTAGTTAGTTGTACGAGAAAACTGGGATACTCTTTCAAAGTTCTTTGTAATGCTGTCTTATAGTTCAGTTATTTGAGGCACTATAGAATATCTGGTATTCCAACTGTTAAATAGATTTTGTTACCATGTTATTTTTTTTGCCTGCTTTGCCTTCTTAACGTGTATACCATCAGAACACAATAAATACCCTGAAAACATTCCATTTCATTGGATTGTAATCAAATCAGAGTATAAAAGAAAGCGTTCTTGTCTTTCCAAAGCATATAAAAAGACCTTTTGGGCGAATTAATAGAATTTAAATATCATGTTACCTAGAATTCTGATTTAATTCTAATATTCTTGATGAATTAATGACAACACAGAAGTAAGAAAGTACTTCTATAAATAATTAATAGGATATCATAGACATCATGTAAGTGTGACATTCTTTTTCATGTTACGTTTCATCGAGTACTGACTTAGAACCAAGGATTATAGTCATATCGTATTGACAGCATAGACACATTGACCTATGAAAACAGGAGAAGTAACAATAATGCTTAGACATTTAGCTTGTGCCAAGAGCTATGCTAAATGCTTTAAATGCATTTTGTCATTTTCCAGCCATAACATATGAGACCTACTGGCTTGGTATGTTATAGTCAAGATGATAGGAAGTGCCTGTAAGCCGAAGCTCGGTGGCTCAGCCTGTCATCCCACCACTTTGGGAGGCCAAGGCGAGTAGATTGCCTGAGACCGCGGGTTCAAGACCAGTGCGGGCAATTTGGCGAGACCTTGTCTCTACAATAAATCAAAAAAATTAGCTGGACATGGTAGCACACACCTGTAGTTCCAGCTACTTGGAAGGCTGAGGCGGAAGGATCGCCGGAGCCCAGCAGGTCGACGCTGCGGTGGACGTGAGCACGCCACTGCACTCCAGCCTGGGTGATGGAGTGAGACTCGCAAACTCAAAAAAAAAAAGTGCCTGTAATAGAAAACTTAGCACCAAACTGGATTTAGAGAATAAACTTTAAAAGTTGGCTTCTCACTCTGTGTTTCTCTTCAGTTGTAGTACTATTTTTAAAAATGTTTAATTCTTAAGTATGGCATTGAGTATCCTCTTTTTCTATTTTTTTTTTTTGGTCCAACACATGTTGAATATGTCAAAACTTCAAAATAAAATGTGTAGTAGAATAATAGAGAACTGTCAGCTATTTTCTTTTTACTTCTAGTTAAAATTTAGTCTGACCCATGATGCTGAGATGTAATTACATAAAGAAAATACAGCTTTTATAATGATTTAATAATGCCGTGCAACCTAATATCCCTTGACTTTGTTTTATGTTTCTAGTTGCTTGAAGAAAATATGAATCAGTTCTGTCTTACATTTCTAAAGGAAAAGTAAATAAATGGTGTTACACAGATTTGATTCGTTTTCTTTTCCAGGTGCAACAATCGAACACAGTGTATAGTAGTTACTGGGTCAGATGTATTTCCTGATCCGTGTCCTGGAACATACAAATACCTTGAAGTCCAGTATGAATGTGTCCCTTACAGTAAGTATGGGGTTTATATTTTTCCTCACTTTCTCCAGCATTACTCATTGATGCTGAAAGAGTACACATGTGAAAGAAGCATATGTTTATGGCCTACAAAACCATTATGCATGCAGAGCACTAACCGACTTGGGCCTCCAATTAGCTTCATGAAGTGTGGAAGGAAACCATAGTGTGATGCTGGCCAAGTGTCTATCTGTGTTCTTAAGTGTTTGGCTTTTAAGGCTAGTGTTTTTCCAGAAAACAAACTTGAATGAGCTATTCAATAGGGCCGGTAGGAATCTGTACTTTTGCCCAATACCAGTTGCTGACAAATTGGTTTGGCTCACAGTTTTCTAAAGAAGGAATTGACTTCAGTTTTAATCAGGAGCTACTTGAATGACTACCTGCTGTTGTAGTAACTTTAGTGCCTGGTAAAAAGCTACCCTTGCAGTAACTGAGGCAAGTGCTTTTCTTGTTGTTCCATTGTCCTTAAGGGACCATTTCTTGACCAAACTCAGTGATGAAATCTTAATGCTAAATAAAACAGATAAGACAAAATCCTGCACATCCTTCTATTTTGAATTTTGTAACATTTTTAAGATCCCACAGAAGGATATTTAAAATTCAGTGGGAAAATGTTTGGTTAAACTTGGGCTAATAGTCTAATTTTGTGTGGTTTTCCTTCTAATCTCAGAATTCATATTTCAAAATTACGTGCTGTACTCTCAATAGAAATAACCATAACATTTTAGACAGCTTGAAAGTTCGAAGATATTATCTAATTTTTATGAGCTAGCTTGTGTTGTTGTTTTCTTTTAAAATTTGAAAAAAAGATAGAAATGTTCCTAGGCATTAGAACCAGAAGTTTTTGTCAGCAATTTTACTGATTTGAAAGTTTTTATGTACTTCCCTCCTAGGGGGAAAAAAAAAAGAAAGAAAATGGACTCATCAAATAATGAAATTGCTGTTTGCAGAACCTCGAAAGCTAGATCGCTAGTTCTGACAAATTAACATATCCAAGCTGTGGATATGTCTAACACCAAGGGCCAAATTCTGATAGACATGCTACTTCAGTATGGTAGTAATACATTCCGACCCATGCTGTGAAAGCACTCTCTCTCTTTTCTTTGCCACAGTTTTGACAAATTGGCTTTTTGTGTCATCAGTTAAAGGCCAAACACAGATTATCTTTTCTTTTCGTTCCTGCTCTGTGTTCCTGTGTTACTGTGAAATGGATGCTTTTTATGTTTTCAGTATTTTCTATATCATTTGTAGGATTGGAAGCCTACTGAGTGCACTGATCATTTCTCCCGTGTGTAGTGTTGGTGGCTTAGATAATCATTCTCCTGTGCCACTAAAGGAACATTATATTCTTTTGACCTAACCAACATTTTGTTCCATAAAGTCACTTTTACTTGAATTTAGCATGGTTTCTGTCCTCAAATTAGAGAAGGAATACAGCATCCATTCTCAAACAATGGAATCAGTCAGAGCTGCCAAGAATTGTGTCTTTCTGGAGCCAGTTCCTGTAACCTAGTCTATAGACCAAGAACAGTGTAAAGCAAATATTATTTTCAGAGTCTTAAGTTATTTCTTGCGCTGTTTAAGAAAGGAAAGTGTGGATATCTTCTGGAACATCTAACTTTCAAAATTTTACTTTTTCAGTTCTCCAGAAGTATTATACATTGTGCACTAAACTTGCAAATAGCTATACTCAGAGAAGTATTTGTTCTTTTTAGTTTTTGTCTTAAAAAAAACTTCAGTAATAATTTGCTATTACCTTTCTAGATGTTTGCACGAGGCAGAAATAAGTCTATGGCACATTTTAAAAACTACTCTTTGCTAAAGAATGGAAGAAATTATAATCCCTATATACTGTACAGTAGTGACACACTATAAAGTGCATGATTTCAACTAATATTAAAATGTAATACCAAGGGTCTTTTTAGATGATGATTCTAATCTCACATAGGACGGTGTATTCTTAACTCTTTCCTCCATTTTCCTCTCCTTTGGTTTCTTTGTGCTTCTGTCCATTATATTCATTCCTTCTACTTGCTTTTATTTTTTTATTTTTTTGTGTTGGAGTCTCACTCTGTCACCCAGGCTGGAGTGCAGTAATACGATCACAGCCACTACAGTCTTGACCTGCTGGGCTCAGGTGATCCTTCTGCCTCAACCTTCAAAGTAGCAGGCGATGCAGGCATGTGCCACCATGCCCAGCCAGTTTTTTGGTTTATTGTAGAGACAAGTTCTCACCAAGTTGCCCAGGCTGGTCTCGAGCCCCTGGGCTCAGGCAGTCCTCTTGCCTCTGCCTCCCAAAGTGCTGGGATGACCCACGTGAGCCACTGCGCTGGGCCTGTTTTATTTTAAGCCTGTCGTTTTCACTACCTTGTTTTAGTAGTTGTTGCACTTTGTAACACCTGCAAACCACTTTTGTACTTTGCTAGGTTGGTAAACATTTTCGCCATCAGATAACATTTAGTATGTATTTTTTACCACTTGGTCTTATGCCAATTTCTATCCACAGCAAATCTTCCAGGAGCTTATACATCTCAAATTGTTTCGCAAAATATTATAAAACAATTTCAGAAATTTTTCTTGACTCCTGAAAATTTTGTAATAAATTTGCTCAGTGGAGAACATTAGAAATACTATTATTTTGGTTTACTTCAGTATGATTATAAACAGGCACGTACTTAATGTGAGATTTGTACATGCCCAGATAATGTTTGTGTCAAAAATATGTATATACAAAGAATCCTTTATCCTTGACAGAGTGTTAGTAATTGCATGTATGTGCGCTTGAAAAGTCATAGGCTCTTGGAGGATAAAGGAGAGTATCAGATTGGAATTTTGCATCCCACAAGCAGGATTTGGTTTTCATTTTTGTATCCTCTTATTTCAAATCATAATGCAAAATTATACTGTGGTGTTAGCTGCAAGTTCTGATCGATGAGAAAAATAACCATTGCTATTAATCAAATCATGATTAATGAATAAGCACGTGAGATTATTCAAAAAGAAATAGTGTGTCACTTCAGGCAGAGTATATAGGCTGGAGTTAGTTCGGGTTAGTTTCTTGTCTTGTATATCTCTGTAGTCCTCCACTGATGTTGGTGGGTCATGTACTTGTGTGTTTGGTCTATAGAAAAGTAAATGTATTGTTATGAATTAATTCATACAGTCTCTTCAGACAAATTGTAGTATATATTTGGCATGTGATAGAGAATACCCATTTTATTTTTATTGTATTTTTATATTCTTCTGGGTTGGTAGAATTTTGGCTGATTTATAAGATTATCCTTTGAGTTTTCATAAAAATCGTAATGATGCATCAGTCATCAAAGGTTTTAAATTTGTTTTTATTTTTACATTTTGGTGTTACTTATTTTTCACCAGAATTATTAATCATGTACAATATACAAAGCCATATCCATTTTCTTTTCCTTTAATATATGTGATATCAGTTAAATCGCAAATAAATGAAGACTTTCCTGTTTGGTATTTTGTTTAGTAACTGTGTTATCATTTTAGTAATAGTTTATCAAATAATATAAATCAGTCATTTCCAATGAATGGAAAACATAAATTATACTTTCTACATCTATTATTAAACTTGTTTTAAGTTCTGTTTTAAATAAGTAAACATTTTAAAACGCATTATTTCCATCCTTACTTATTTCAGTAAAATCATCCTTTCCTTAGGAAAAACAAAGTATAGCTGTATATAAATGTAGTTTGAACAGTCACAACACTAATGATTTCTCTTATCCTCATTTTCTCACCACGCCCTTCCATTATTGATTCTAAGCAGGTATAATATTGCTCTTCACTGAGGAGTCATTTTAGGACTAGTGGTTTATATAAAAAAAAAAAAAAATATATATATATATATATATATATAGTTTCCAAGTCAATAACACTGAATTTCTTCTGTTTATCAGATGTAGTCAGAATTACACATAGTAGAGCAAGTATGTTTCCTGAACGTGGCTAAATAGACTATGTTGATTGGGAGAGGTTGTGGCTTAACGTGGAGGGTTAATGTTTCTCCCGTAGGTATTTCAGAAAGTCAATATTTAATCTTGATGAATTATTGTAATTTAAAAAAAATTAAGCTAAGATCTTAATGAACTGCGTAGTATGCTGTGTTTGAGTACAGTTTGGAGATGCAGTATTAGCAAATCATGCACTTTAATAAGGGCAGAGGGAGAAAAAGAGATCACTCGGGTCATTTTATGAAGTTCAGGCAACATACTTCAAACCCACCTACAATGTAAAACAGTATTTTATGATTTGAAATTATTGGTATATGATGTACAAGCAAGGATCTTGTACGGTTCCCTTCCTAACTGCATAATCCATTTCTTCAAACTTGTAGGAGGTTTTTTTTTTCCTTCATATAACTCTACTAATCAGGTTTGTTTTATGAAAACATTTACTTTTTATAAGGTCTGTGGAGTCAAGGTATTTGCTTTGAATGCTTGGTATGATTGTTGTTGCATGCTAGCTTGCTTTCTATGTAAATTGATGATGGTGGAATTGTCATAATGAGCTAACCAGAATTCTTTCTTCCTTTTTCTCCTTGCCTACTGTGCTTGCTTTTCCCTTGTATGTATTTTGCTTACTTTTTTTAATAGACTTAGTATTACAAGTTTGAGATATGCTATAGATAATTTAATAAACATTTTATAATACAAAGTCTGTGTAATAAGAATTTTATAAATAAAATATTTAATATGAATTTTATAATATAAAGTCTATTTAATAAGAATTGTATCAAGCAAAGTATGTGTAAACCTAAATAAATAGAGATGCTAATTTTTAGTGGGGAAGAAAGGCCTTACCTTACCCACTCTTCAAAATCTCTATTGGGGTTGGGGGTAGTTTATCTATTCTTGAAAAGGAGGCTTTTTTCAGTGGTTAAGATAGCTTTATCTAGAAATAGAAAATGATATATCTAGAAATAGAAAAACAGTGGAAACGTATACTGAGATGCATCATTATATATTTCTTCTCATGTAAATATCTTTGAAAAACATGAAACCACATCAGTATTTACTAAATTTGACCTAAACTCAAAATGAAGTTGTCCATTTTTACAGATGTGTTTTTCTATTGTTATGCTTATCTAATTTGAGTCAGTTTAATGATTGGGTTCACATAAGGGGGACGCTGTGTACCTCTGCATGTATTTATGACTGTAGCATATGCATGGAAAGTAAAACTCGGTAAGAATGCTGAGTGACTTTGGGAAGGGAAGAGAGTATGTATGCCATGCATTAGTGAAGCATTTCATTACTTATTCAGGTTCACTAAGTGAAGCAACATGCCATCCTATTCGTATTGCCTCCTTAATCTACTGAAATGATTGATCTGTGTTCTTTTATGTAACTTTAGAATCTTTCTCCTGCTAGGTTTTCCTGTTGTGTGTTTCTCCTTATCCAAAGTAGTACACAGCTCTTATTCTTCCTATATTTAGCATCTGTTACGAATTCGGTCTTAGACTAATAGTCAATTCATTTTAATCTTTTTTCTTTTTTCCTTGCACCTTTTTTTATTTTTCCTCCGATGCTTAAAATAGAAGTGGAGCAAAAAGGTAAATAACGTCCACGGTCTGAACCCCAGCTCCCTGTCATGTGCCTTATGGGTGTGAACCTCCTCTCCCCATCCCCCCCCACCTCGCCCCAACACTGCCGTATTAAAAACCGTCAACAGGACTGCATACATGCACCCCATAAAGAAGTCAGCTGTTTACAATGACGTTCTGTGACTGCTAACTCTGGTGATGGGGTAAAAATTCTGAAGTCGGCGAGGGGGAGCTGCCCTTTCTCTGTTTCTTTTTCTACCCTTTATCTCTTTTTCTGACACCCTTAGAGATTTTCTTAATTATCAAAGTGTCATCTTGCCTGGCTTCCAGAACCCTCTCCATAGCATGCCATGGTTACAAGGTCTCCTGGTTGTTTCATCACTGCTCTCCTTGTATTTACTTTTCTGTGCTCCTAATTGCATTTTCCAAATATTGTGTTCCTTAAATTGAAGCACCTTTGTTTTCAGTCTAACTTCTGTAAAAGTTCTAAATAAGCCTTCACATTGGGTTTCCTGTTTTATTTGCCTTATTTTGTGGTTTTACTTTTGGGTACTTATAGGTGGGCTAGGGGTTGGAAGGTATAAAGTTTGGAATAAAAGAAAATACTTTATACACTATTATGCACAAACTCAAAGTTTTAAAACACACTATCAGATCATAAGATACAAACTGCAAAAACTTAAATTGTCATCCCAATTATGAATGATTTTAAACTTAGAGTTGTGTAAGAATAAACCCTAGCCTCTTTGTACACTGGTACATTGATTATGGTAACTTTACAAAAGAATGGTAGTACATGTCTTAAGCGCACATTTTGGTAAAATTGAATGCTAATGAAATGAATTTTTCTCTTTTGATCTGTGATTATTAAACATATTTGCCTTGTGTTATTTTTTAACTTGACTTAATTTTTGTCTTTTCTCTGTGACTGTTAGTTTTTGTGTGCCCTGGGACCTTGAAAGCAATTGTGGACTCGCCATGTATATATGAAGCTGAACAAAAGGCAGGTGCTTGGTGCAAGGACCCTCTCCAGGCTGCAGATAAAATTTATTTCATGCCCTGGACTCCCTATCGTACTGATACTTTAATAGAATATGCTTCTTTAGAAGATTTCCAAAATAGTCGCCAAACGACAACATATAAACTTCCTAATCGAGTAGATGGTACTGGATTTGTGGTATATGATGGTGCTGTCTTCTTTAACAAAGAAAGAACAAGGAATATTGTGAAATTCGACTTGAGGACTAGAATTAAGAGTGGCGAGGCCATCATTAACTACGCCAACTACCATGACACCTCGCCGTACCGATGGGGAGGAAAGACTGATATCGACCTCGCAGTTGATGAAAATGGCTTGTGGGTCATTTATGCCACTGAACAGAACAACGGAATGATCGTTATTAGCCAGCTGAATCCATACACCCTTCGATTCGAAGCAACGTGGGAGACTGTGTATGACAAACGTGCTGCATCAAATGCTTTTATGATATGCGGTGTCCTCTATGTGGTCAGGTCAGTTTATCAAGACAATGAAAGTGAAACGGGCAAGAACGCGATTGATTACATTTACAATACCAGATTAAACCGGGGAGAGTATGTGGACGTTCCCTTTCCCAACCAGTACCAGTACATTGCTGCAGTGGATTACAATCCAAGAGATAACCAACTCTACGTGTGGAACAATAACTTCATTTTACGATACTCTCTGGAGTTTGGTCCTCCTGATCCTGCCCAAGGTACGAGTGTGTGTTTCTGACGCTGATGTCATTTTGTGCATAGTATGCTTTTAAAAGACCTCTTAATTTTTTCCTTTCTGTTTTCTTCCCCTCTCATAGTTAAAGTACCAAGGACAGTGTTAGTCTTGTGGTTCATTTTCTTTTTCTCAGTTTCTCCATTTAAATGCGGGTTTCAAAAAATTGTAGCATCACTGGTCAGTTTAGTTTTTCATTACTAAAGATATAATATCAACTACAAACCTGTTAGCATTGTTCCCCCCCCCCCCCTCGACTTCTGAATTGAATACAATTGATTGACATACAGACCTTTTAACTTCTTGGCACCGGTAGTTAAAGAAAATGTGTGTTAGAGAATCCCAGGAGAATGACTCGGCTTGATGTACAATGCCAGGCATAACTGTTCTGAAGTTTTGCCACCTTTTCTCTGGGTAGCAGAGGGAGTCATCCGATCTTCCTAGATCATCATGTAAAATTACATGTTTTTATTTTCTGATACATCAGTGACAGTTTTAAATCAATTTCTGTGACGTTTACTGTCATACATGGACTGACCCTCAAATGATCTCAAGTGATAATTTACGATGACAGATACACTAACTTTTTAAATTTATATTCTCTTTAGGTATCTTTATGAGGGATTGTTACCTAGGAAGTATTGCTAAATGTTTGGAGATATATTTTGGTTTATTAACTGAGTTAAATTTGATGGGAGACAGTGTTTGAGAGTAAATTAATTGAATGTTTAATTAAAACAAGTCTCACATTCGTGATAAAAGAGCAACTTGTTAGTGTATCTACACTCTCTTAATTTTTTTTCTGTTTGAACAATGATGTGTGTTTGAAATCTGAACTGTGATATTTCCATTTCTGAGTTAACTAGAATGATTAAGTCAATCTCTTCAACAGGATGGGATGGAGATTGATATCTTTTTCCTTCTGGTAAAGCAGTATACATAAATATACCCACAACAGCAAACATATCACTATACATATCTTTAAGATATACTCTTAGTAAGTTTTAAATATTTTCATATGTTCAGGGCCTTAAAAACAGAAGTCACAGTTTTTTGAAGTCACAGCTCATGCCTGACATCCCAGCACTTTGGGAGGCAGAGGCAAGAGGATTGCCTGAGTCCAGGGGTTCAAGACCAGCCTGGGCAACTGACAGGACCTCACCTCTACAATAAATTAAAAAATTAGCCAGGTGTGGTGGCATGCACCTGTAGTTCCAGCTACTTGGAAGACTGAGGCGGAAGGACCACCTGAGCCCAGCCACCCATGGCTGCGCTGGCTGTGAGTAGGCCACTGCACTCCAGCCTGGATGACAGAGTGAGACTCCTACTCAAAAAACAAAAAGGGGGGGGGGTTGAATTTCTAATTCGAGTCATTAAAGAATACCAAAAAATATGAGTTTTGTTCATATAATAAGAGCAATAATGATATACTGACTTAATGCATAGCCCCTTTTTCTCTAAATCACATATGTCGAGAGTTTTTGGCTTAAAGTTGTATAGGCGAAATGTCCGTTGTTAAATTTTTAACAGTTAAATCCTATAGGGGTAAAATTTTTACAGATAGTATCTTAGAATCATTTATTTTTATTTTTATTTTTTAAGAAAGAATTCAAGAGAAAAAGAGAAGGAAGAAAGAAGATTCACCTCCCCAAGGTGGGGGAGGGAGCCAAAGCCAGGAAGCATGTCCACAGCCCTGGCTCAAAGAGCACATGGCCACACCAGCCTCTAGCAAGGCAATGGCTCGAATCATTTATTTTTAACTGTATATAAATGTTGGCTCATGAGGACAGCCATTTGGAAGGTTTCAAGTATCTCAGTTGCTTTTCCAAAAGCTACCACAGTGCTTCTTTATCCTACAGGTTTGTCAAAAGGCAAACTTTTAGGCATTGACAGATTTCAGGCACTGGCTAAAATTGTATTGATCCTTGTGTTAACCTTTGGGTAAGCAGTTGTTACGTTTGCCTTGGGTGGCAGTAAATTTTTTTCTTCCTTAGGATAAAAAGATGGTAATGCTTTAAAAACTGCAAATTTGTAATCAGGCAACACCAAAGGATTTTGAATAAAGTTGAGTGCCCAATTCAACAAAAACTTCGTAACCCATCTGCTTGTCACAAAGTGCCTCCGTGAATACAGAGATAATGCCATTTTCCACTGGAAGTGTATATTCTAGTAAATAATCTGATCCTTTGCGGGTGAAAAAGTCTTTGATAATTCAGATGCTTTTTGGAAAGAGTTTTGAAAATGAGAAACTTAGGCATATGCAGCAACCGAGTGTTTCTATAACTTCTTTGTCATCCAAAAGAGTTTACTGTTCTTAAATATTCCCAGAACACGAAAATTCATATTGACCCCATATTAAACCCTTCATGATAAAGAGTTTTATCTGACCTAAATTTCTCTTGCTGCTGTTTGACCCATATTCTCACTCTCTCCCTTATAATTCAACTGACTGTGCTTTTAGAGCCTCCTGTCTCTGTCAACCAAGATAGGTGCTATCTAACTGTGTGGAGGCGGGGCCTTGCAGAACTGTGCTGGCCCATACATTTAGGTCAAACCGATAACGCCATTGTCTGCTTTCCAGAAGCAAGATCCAAGAAATGAATAGGAGAGCAATCTGAGAAATGAGTCTTTGCCTGCCATAACACAGTGATCGACTTGTTTGGCTGAAATTCATAGTTAAAGTCCTGTGCACTGGATCTGCTCATGTGTGGGGCCAAGGCATGCATCGTGCTATAAAGTTAACCATTCTTTCAATTCTCATTGTGGGCTGTTTCCTAGTACGTGAGCTTTGGTGTCTTTTCCCATTTAGGAACCCAAGCGTTTTCATTCCTAAAAACTTATTATTCCTGAGCCCTGATCTCTTTTTATTCCCCCCTTCCCATTTTTAGCTTTATGTGATCCCTACATAGTTCATTTGCTTCATTCCCCTAAACTAGATCCCTGCTTTCACCTTTTCCCTCTCTGGAGGGGGCTTAGGAAACACTTTCCAGGTCTAGTTTAACTCTTTTCCATTTTTGAATCTGGATAGCTGTATATTTATTTAATCTGTCTGCAAATTTGATGTCCCAAATGTCATCTAGGAAATGGTATGTCTTTACTTGGGTTTTGGCAGTTCCTGAATATTTGTCTTAGACTAATTATGAAGTGAGACACTTTCATAGTAAGAGGGAAATTTTTTAGCAAGAGAGCCAGGTTTTGTGTTTATACATAGCACATAATACATATTTCCTGAAATATCTTTTCACGGATAGAGAATGCACTATACAGAGATGATCAGTGTTTTTAGACATTGAATAGGGGTAAGTTTAATGGATGCTTATTTTTGCCTCAGCAGGCTACAGACTCACTCGATCTGGAGTTCATTCACTGAACAATGGGTGTTGTTTGGACCTCAGTGAGGGGAATATTACCCTCAGCATAAAAGGATATTGTCCTCAAACACTTTCATGCAGGAAAAACCTGATAATAAATAGCAATTTCTTAGTACACAACCATAGAAGATTGAACCATTCTGTATGTGGCTGTCAAAATCTTTGCAAGTACCTAATAATAAGTATGTTTATTAGGACCGTTTCTTTGACGTATGTACTCAAATGATAAGTGGTAGGCAGAAGTCTAAGTCAGCTTATCTTGATGCTTGGTGTTGAATCTGGCTAGAATAGAACTCAGTAAAATAGGCCTTGGATTTGAGTGATAATTCTATTGTGTATTATCATGTTTTTTATTAACTTTGAGAGGATATTCTTGCGCTTTGAACCTTTTGCCTTGAACCTTTTGCAGACGGTTTCACTGTGAAACTTCTTGTGTGTTGCTTTTGTCTTCCGTTATTTTGTTGCATCTTCTTGTAGAGATATACACAGAAGAATCTGGTGATACGTTTCAAAATAAGGGCAAGATGCCTTGTCAGATACCATCCTTCCCTAGAGCCTGTGCGAATCTTTGACCTAGGAAAGAAAGATTGTAGCATTTAAGAGCATGGACAAGTGACTGTAAACAAGTAACTTATTCCTCCATGGCTCTGTTGCCTTGTCTGTGAAAGGAAGATAATGACAGTGCCTGGTTCATGGGTTGTGGTAAGGGTTAAAGGAGATGATCTGATGACCCACGAGTGGTGATTGGCACACCATCTGGCCCAGGAATGCTTCGTCAGTATAAGCTTTTATCATGACCAGATGCCCTGCTGGGGCCACTTCCACCTGTGGAAATAATTTTTAGACATATCTTTGCATTTCTAGCTTTCACATTAGAAACAATTGCTCTTCTTGAAGCATTGCTAAACTTAAGCCTTCCAGAATCCCAGAATTTCCATTTGTCCCCCTAAAGGGTTTAGTTTTATCTCTTATAGTTTGCTTTCATGTTTGTTTTCATGATATCCCAACATTTCACTGACTTACCTTTGAAGAAGATGTTATTCCCTTTGTGCTGCTAATGATTAAAAGGCAAAGGCACCAAAGTATGTTATCAAGAAAATGACAACACGACTGTAGAATGATGTATGAAATTCTGTGGATTTAATTGAGGCCATTTTATTGCCTACGTTGATGCAGTTCTTATGAATCTTTACTGAAGCTTAGCTCACAAATCACTGATTGTAGTATTAATACCTATTTCAGTGATTAAGTATGTACTAATGAGCACAGTGTCGAGGGATGCATCAGACGGTGTAGCACTAAACCGTTTTGTTCTGCCCGTTTTCCTCTGATTCCTCACTCCCCTTTAAGACTGGAATCAGCGGCAGTCATATGACACTTCTGCAAAAGATGGTGATGCTTTTGACAAATGTTAATTGAGAAAGCACTGAAAGCCTGGCTGCATTGTAATCAAAAGAAAATTACAGAGGTTTAACAAGATGTCAAGCAAGTACTTTACAGAAAAGGATAGACAGGTTTGAATAGGTTTCTGCAGCAGCTGGCTAAGCATGATGTTTGACTAATGTACATAGGCATCTCTCATATGGTCAATAAATTATGCCCTGCAAATAAAACACATGCTTTAGATGTTTCTTTTGAGAGAGAAGGGAAAAAAAGGAGTTTACGTGTGCAGTGTACTTATTGATAACCAGAAGTTTATCACAACGAAAGAACTAGAAATATGTGCACACTACTTTTTACAGTCGTTACACAACTTTATGCAGTTTTCTGATAAACTTTGTGTACTCTCGGTAGCGTCAAAATTATGTTAACAAAGATTGATGGACCAGGGCTTAAAATGTTAAATATATCAGTGAAAATATGAACTTTTCTCAAATAAGTTCTAACGTTCTAGCTTGCTTCTCATGTATAGATAAAGCATAAAATAAGTTAATGTTTTTATAAGATGATTTTTAAAAATAGCTATTTTAAAGTTTATTCTACTCTAACAGTTTAAGGCATCATCTATGTAAAATTTTAAGAGCCAATAATCTGTAAATGTTGATAAAACCTTAGTGTTGTCTACTCTTACACTTTTTAAATGGTAGTATTAAATTTTTACTGACAGATTTGTTATTTTAAATTAATTTTGTCGTAAATAATGGAGAAAACATTGAGCTTCACTGTTATTTAAACCTACTTGATTTAGCAGTGTGAAAATAATGGTGGACGACAAAAATAACCTTTTCTATAAAAAATTTTTTTTGGCTTTTAAGTGTGCAGCCATAATCTCTTTTATATTCTCTGTTAAGGGTCAATAAGATATGGAGGGTTGGTTTTGAATTAGGTGTAATTCGATCTAACCCTTTATCTGGATAAGAGATTGCACCTCTGACCGGAGCAAGCTGCTTCTTCATACCTGCCTTTTCAAAAGTAAAGATGCCGAAGGCTGAGATGTTTCCTTACTAACACACAAAACAGCACAAGTATGCCAAGCTTATCTTCTGTTTGGATCTAGTCAGACATGCTCAAAATTCTCTCAAGCAAGAAGGGCGGCCGGGTGGCAAGACGTCCCAGTATTTTCTTGCAAAATGTAGAATGGGTGACGTTAAGCTTTTGTATCATCCTCCTTATACATCCTTGTCAGATTTCTGTTGATACTTTGCATTTGTTTGTTTATAGAATGTGAGTTCCTGTGATGATAGAATTGTTCTAAATTAAAATGTCCTGCATTTTCTGTTCATCATGTATGGTAAAATTATACTTAAACTCCACCGTTGCATAATTCAGTGACAAGTAAGCCTCACACAGCATCCTACCACAAAAACTACAGTAAAGCCCAAACTGCCATCTCTTAGCCAACGATATGACAAGTTGGAACAAACGAGAAAATGTAGTCTTCCTCCATGGGTAATTTTCATTTAGCTGGTTTTGGGGCCGATGGTTGGATGAGGTATTGTGTGCGCATGCCTGTCTCCACGTGCTAGCGTGTGTTTGAGATTAATATCCTCATCTTTTCTCCATAGTGCCTACCACAGCTGTGACAATAACTTCTTCAGCTGAGCTGTTCAGAACCACGGCATCAACCACAAGCACCGCTTCACAGAAAGGACCTGTGAGCACCACGGTAGCTGGCTCACAGGAAGGCAGCAGAGGCACGAAACCACCTCCAGCGGTTTCCACCACCAGAACTGCGCCTGTAACAAATATTTTTCCCCTGCCAGAGAGATTCTGCGAAGCATTAGAATCCAGGGGCATAAAGTGGCCTCAGACGCAAAGGGGGATGATGGTTGAACGACCGTGTCCCAAGGGAACAAGAGGTATTTTGCGTACAATGCCATCCGTACCATTTTCAGTATATGAAGCAGCTTCTGGGTTACACGGAAGCGATTTCACTTGAAGAGAGGGCTATTTCCACTCGCACACTTAATTTTTGTTACCTTTGGCAATATCGCATCTGCAGTCAAAGCCCTTTAAACCATAAAAGTCACTGAAGGTCAGGTACACGATGACCTGAAGACCTGGGTCAAGCTTGAGGTCTTTGCCTGGAAACTAGTGAAGCCTTCTTAAGTGGCCTCTCTTGTTACAACCCTCCCTTTGGATGGGTCCCAAGAAAAACAAAGCTTTTGTTTGTTTGCTCTAAATGTATGATATTTCTGGGCTGACTTCATATTTATTGTTCATAATCTGCATTACACCCTGCTTTTTTTGTCAGTTATTGTCAACCACTTCCATTACCATTTGTTCAAAATCTCACATGCAGAGTAGAAGCATCATAGCTGATTTCCTGAACGCGTGCAGAAAAATGGTTTCAATTTCACTGTTACTTTCTGCATCTGCTGTAGGAACTGCCTCATATCTCTGCATGGTTTCCACTGGAACATGGAACCCGAAGGGCCCTGATCTTAGCAACTGTACCTCACATTGGGTGAATCAGCTGGCTCAGAAGGTTGGTTGAATCCTTTTAAGATGACACCTCCGTGATGTAGAGCTTTAACTTCTAACATAAATAATTTAGCTTTGTATGTTAAAGCCAGCTTTGCTGCCCTTTGTTCAGTAGAAAAGTATGCCTAGTTTTGTCTGTAAACTGTTTATTGAAAGTTACATATGTTTTGGGATATACTGTTTTTTCTCTGCTAAGCTTTTTAAATGAGTACATGCTTGTATAATCGCATTCATATTTGGCTTGTTCTTTTTCTTTTGATGTTCATAAGATAAATAGTGAATTGGCCTAATAAATCAAATGTCATTAAGTTTGCAACCGAATCCACAGAATGCAAGCAGATGTGTATATCACACAAGATTACGATAAAATGAGTAAATGACTTTAAAAGGCATCAATAACTTTAATAATACAGTGTAATGCAGTGCCATTTTATTTTCTCCTCCATCTACCTTTCTGAAAAAACACAAACACTGGGTTACAACCCTTGCTATCAGTGATGGCATCCCGATTTAAATTCTGGATCATGGGACTAAATAAGATTTTATTTATTTATTTTTAGATTTCAGTAGCTTTAGGGGGTACCAATGGTTTGGGGTTACACAGATGCAGTGTATGGTGGTGAAGAAGTCTGGGCTTTAAGGGTACCCACCACCCCCACCTGTGCACGTGGCATTTGGCATCCCTCCCTCACTCCCTCCCCTCATTCCTCCCTTCCTCACTCCCCTTGCTGAGTCTCCAGTGTCCATTTTGCCATCCTGTAGGCCTTTGCAGATCCTTAGTTCCGCTCCCAGTTATAAGTAAGAACATTCAGCATTTGGTTTTTCCATTCCTGCGTTATTACACTTAGGATGATGTTCTCCAGTTTCATCCAAGTAGCTGCAAAGCCATTATTTCATTTTTTTATGGCTGGATAGTATGGAATAAATAAGAGTTTGAAATGACAATTTTACATGATTACAGTGAAATGAGAGAACTGGCTAAAACATTTGAGAAAGGATGTATTTTGCTCTGTTTCTTTTAGATGCTTGGTTAAGAATTTGTGTGTGTGTGTGTGTGTGTGTGTGTGATCTAAAAGCCTTTAATCTTTTGGAGATGAAGAGAAAGTTATTGGTCTCAATTAGTTGCAGATTTTGACAGATTTGCAAATATTTTTTTCACCACAACAAAGGTAGTCAAGGAGAACCAGACACCATAAACAGAACAGGAAATTTAACTGAGATAATACAAATTGTCATTTCAGATCAGAAGTGGAGAAAATGCTGCTAGTCTTGCCAATGAACTGGCTAAACATACCAAAGGGCCAGTGTTTGCTGGGGATGTGAGTTCTTCCGTGAGGTTGATGGAGCAGTTGGTGGACATCCTTGATGCACAGCTGCAGGAACTGAAACCTAGTGAAAAGGATTCAGCTGGACGGAGTTATAACAAGGTAGGAAGAATGCTTGTTATTGCTTGTTATTTTCAACTAGACATTGTACACAGCAGCTCTTGGTTCTTCTAGCAGTAAACAGCCAAACCTCTGGCCCCCTGGACATACACTGAGAAGCAGAATTTCTAATTTGGTTCCTTTTTCGAGGAAGAATTACATTTGAGAAAAGAACAGTGGTTCCACCTCCCCCCAAAGTGTAAATGTTGTTAGTTACCTGAGAGAGATCTTAGTTGGTGGCAAACTTCGTCCATCTGATTATGTTCAGTGCCATCACTTTAAAGTGCTTTACCTTCACTTGGGAAAATTATTTATCTTATACAATTGATATTTTTGTATGCTGATACATGTAACCCTTGTGGCTGCAGCTGTAAGAGTTGTGTCACATAACCATGACACATACAAGAATCACCAGAATGCTCCTTTCAGTGACAGCTTTTGGGAAAAGGACAAGTTTCCCTCTCCAGGAATATATTCTATCAGTGCTATTAATTTTTTCCACTGTGACAAAAATGTGATAGTTACTTTTCATGACATGATAGTGCTGATACTGGATTCATAGGAACCCCAAATCAAATGTGGTTCTACATGGTTGGAAATTTGACTTCTTCTTTTGACCGCCATGTATATTTTGTTTCTTTTTGTCACTATATTCTGGAATAGTATACTTAGTAAAATACCGCCCTAAACTGTGGAGTAAGCCGTTTTTGGAAGTCAGTGCAGACTACTGCCCCAGGCATCCAGAGGACCACTGTATGTAAGAAACTTTGAACTCTGGAACACAGGCTTAGTTTTTGAGGATTTCTTCTTTCCTCGTTTTCAGCAGATAAAAGTCTAACCTCTGATTTTCTTTTCTTTTACTTAAAAGCTCCAAAAACGGGAGAAGACATGCAGGGCTTACCTTAAGGTATCTCTCCTGTGCTGTCACCCTGCTTTCTCCCTCTTCAGCTTCCTGCCACGCTTTCTCATCTTGCTGCATGACCCAATGTATTTCAGTCTTTGATAATTATATAATGTGCCCCATATCAGCTGTACAAATGTTGGCTTTTCACAGGTATATTACTTTCGGAATTAGCAAATCATTTGTCTTAATAATTTTTGCTGTTTTTCCATTTATCCAAAAGTCCAAGAATTTTAATGAAATATCCTCTTAATTGGAAAGTAATTATATAGTCTCTTTGTTTCCTGTTGTCATCTCTGTGGATTAAAAAAACAACTTGAGTAAAACAGCTATGATATATTATTGGCAGTTTATCATATCAAAGACTGTATAGTCATAATGTATGTGCATGAAAAAGTCACTGCTTTCTTCTTGCTATGGTGTACTTTTAAATAAAATAGGCTTTGTCCTGAAACTTTTAGGAATCATTTCTAGAGTTAGATTGGTATAGGGATGGGTTACTAGAAGTGAATTATTAGTAATTTGACAATGCTGTCAGTATATGTTACATATTGGTTTTTATCAGGCTAATAGGAACAGAAAGCCACTGTTTGGCTTAGAATTCTAGTCTGCTCCAGCCGGTTTTTCTCCCTGGTATAGCCAAGTAATAGGAAACATGCTGAGGCTAGCTGTGGAATTATGCTGTGCTAGTTCTGTGCGATAGATCAAAATAACAATCCCAAATTGCATTTTGTTTTGTTCTGTGAATTTTATAAGTTCCTTTTGGGGAGAGAGTTATTTTCTAGTCTTCCTCTTCAGGGGACCACAACCATGATAAATCAAACCCTGAAGAACCAATCCATACACTCTGACGACAAAACAAAAGAACTTTTGTAGTTGTACAGACTAGAAGTTAGATATTGAAAACCATGACTTTGCTAATTTTGGTTGGCAAAGTCTAGAAAAAAAGGCATCGCACAAGTTTGTATCAGGCATTGTTGAACCCAAGAACTTAACAAGAAAAGACGGTGGAGAAGTTCTAGGTAGTAATACTCTGAAAATTCCTTTTTAGCCTGCTTAATGGGAGCAAGTCTATAAATTTGAGTGTTCTGTTCACCTTTAAGGTATTAGTTAAACACATGAAATGCAGTCATTGGTATGTTGCCCGGGAAATACATCTCAAAGGGAAAAGAGTAGCCTTTTTTTGCTTTGGCAGGAAGAAACAACTTCAGGAATATGATTAGGCTAATGATCATTTTGATTCCACTAGAAAAGTACAAATCATAATAAATAAGGAGTATTTCAAATGAATAAAAGCAGGCCACAGCGAGTCATTTGTTTATGTAGTAAATTTCAGCATGACCTTAATTTCTGACCAGTGTCATTTTCAGTACGTCTCAACTGAGCTTCTCTTGTTCAGATAAGACTAATAAAACTCCTTAAATTACAAATCAGAAGCTGACTTACACAATGCAAATGAAACAAGTTCCCACTTGGTGACAGAGGATTCATTTGTAACTTAGATGAGATGCTCCAGTCTGTATTTCTTGGTGACTAATGAATCTGGCCTCAGCAGACCAATTTCTGTCCTACTCCAGTTAATGGCTGCAGCAGTATCCGTGTGAGCATTTTGACTATTCTGTCTCCCATTAGAGAGGGAAAAAAGCCTTTAATGCCACTTCGAAGTATCTTCCACCTGCTAGGAAGGTCGTGGTGGCTCACAAGGCAGACAGAACGAGGATATTAAGATGGATTAAGCTAATTAATCTTACTCCGACAGTATCCTCAAACAGCTTTTCCCCCTGCTCATTTCAATACGATACTCCAAACTAGCAGTTTATATTGTTGTTATTTGTACAGCGTGTGTTCTTCTTCCTCGGTGATTATCGTCAGATCTAAACAATTTATTTATAGGCCTAATGACACATTATGACTAGGCAAATTGAATAGAGTGAAATAAACTTAGTGATTTCAGCTTTCCAAGGCGCAGTGAGTACATACCTGCAGCAAGTGTCAGTGTAAGAGTCTGCCCTCAACTGATTGACTGACTGGGTTATATTTTATTTAATGTTATTTTGCATGGTGATAAATTAAACCTATATATATAAATATTTACGACTTGGATGTTCATGAAGTCTTTATTCTACTTTTTCTTTTGCATTAAGCTATCGATATGGGCTTTACATATTTTGATTGCTTTCTTGATTGCTTTAAAAGCAGACCGTTGTTTACATTTCTGTGTACTCTCAAGTGTTTTTTAACTGGACAAGGAATTGGGAGAGTGGAAATGTTTGCACATAATTTGTCAACTTTAAAACCACCTTCTTTCTTTTTTAAAACAAATGACAGTAGGTAAACATTGTAAGGCACAATTTTGGTTGCTATTTTTAGTTAAGGTTTCAAAAAAGTAATATGGTTTAATTTTTAAGCATAAATGTTTGTCTACTCCAGAAACAATAATATCTTCTATTTAGAATATTTAGGTCTTGAGACTATAAGTAAGATGGCTTTAGTTTTGGCCATATTTATAACAGTAATGCCTCAGGTTAGAGCCGACACAGAATATCGTATTTTTCTTCCACAAGTAAGGTATGATTAGATAAACAGAAACAATCCATGCTTCTACACTTACTCCTTATAATCAAATAGCATCACAGGGTTTTCAGTCAGTCCTATTTTGAAATGGTCAGGTATATTTCAAGTTGACCAGATATTTCTTGTTCAGGTGTCCTTCCATCTTGAAATAAGAATAAATCATCATGACAGACAAATACTACAATTGTCACTAGTCGGTGATTGAAAATCACTCTGGTTCTAGAAGCAGTCAGAACTAATGATAGTTTTCTAATGGATGCAGGCAATTGTTGACACAGTGGACAACCTTCTGAGACCTGAAGCTTTGGAATCATGGAAACACATGAATTCCTCTGAACAAGCCCATACCGCCACAATGTTACTCGATACGTTGGAAGAGGGAGCTTTTGTCCTAGCTGACAATCTCTTGGAACCAACAAGGGTCTCAATGCCCACAGATAATATTGGTAAGTGAGTCTATTGTCAGGTTTAATTTTGACTTAGCAGTTAGATGTTTAAGAGAATGATGTTTTTGTCCTGAATCTATCTATTGAGTTATTCCCCTTGTGCAATACTTCTTTTTGGTCAAATTATTTTTGTCTGATAGCAAGAGAAATCATTGATCACATTAACTAAAATTAATTCAAAAGCCGAAATCTATCTTATATCTTTAAAAGTTGGTTTTGTGTGTGTGTGTGTGTTTTCCAATTGAAAAATCACTAAAGAAAAAAATCTGAGTACTTAAATACTAGAATAAGTATTGCCTAAGTCATGAAACTGTGGCAAATGCTTTCCCATTTTATATAATGTGTTCCTGATGAATTGAAATTACTTTATGGAATGCATTCTCTCAGTCAAATATTTTAGCACACAGAAATTGAGCCAAATGTTTCTATTAAACATAACTGCCTTCAGGTGAAAATGTGGTCAGTGACTACCTCTCCCATAATGTACAATGTCAGTGCTTCGTAGATTGCAAAATAGCCTCAGATAGTTTTGAAGCATAATTTAGAATTTAAATGCTACACTGAGAGGTAGAAATCACTTTTGAAAGTATTTGGAAAAAGTACAGTAAGTATAGTAAAATATTATTAATTTAGGCTTGACCAATTTAGAATTGTTAATTATTCAGTGAGGTTGAACTCAGATGAAGTTAACAGTATCCCTTAGTGAAGTAAAAAGCTTCTCAAGCCTAAATGTAAAAAAACCCAAAATGACTTTTCTACCAACTTCATTAGGGCAGCAGATAGTGAATGAAGACTTGCTTTCTGGGATACCAGGTCTTAACATCTAATTGTGCCTGCCTGAGTTGTGGGACTTTATATAAAAAATGCAGAAAAGGGAGTATTTAGAAGAAATGGACATAAATAAAATCGATGACTTTTTATTTCAAAACCTTGAGGTTATTTTACTTAAGTATATTTTTATGAAAGAAATGAAGTATTAGTGAAATAATTGTTTCTTATTTACTGTGAGGCTTGGAAATGATAAATCATTAAAAAACTTCACACTAAGTGAAGTAAAAATAGTTTGGCATGCCTAACTGGGATACCTAGTCATGAGGAAAAGGATATTTGATTATAGCTCTGGTAGTAATATAAAATGAATAAAACTCCCCCCTTCTATCTGAGGCTTGTTTTGAGGTCAGTTCAATTAGCGATCTAATAAAATTCCCAAGATGTTCAATAAACAACACTTCTCAAATGTTTCCAGTGACATGCCTGTAAGGATAAGAGGATGTGTGGACTTGATTGTCTTAGAGAATGAGTCATAGAAATATGTATTATTTGAAGTGGCATGTTGTGACCTCAGTTTGTTTTCTAAATCTTCTGAAAGTTTTTTTTTTTTTTAACCTAAAATTGTTCTTTTCTGCCTCTTCAAGTGTGCAAGAAAATTTGATGGGCCTGGTTGACATTCTGTGTTTCCATCAGCCTTACCTGTGTAGAATGTAGAATACACTGTTATTCTGTGTCCAAGATATTTTATCAGTTTGAGAAATATTCTGAAAAGTTAAAGCTTCGAGAATACATTTTTTTCTAATACTTGTGTTTTTCAGAGTTCTAGTTGATTGTTTTCCGTGTTGATTTTTATTCTCTTAATTAAAAGACATGGTGGAGATTCTTCTGGAATGTAGTATACATTTTCCCAGCATTTCTGAAGTAATGCCTGTAATTTGCTATGTCTATATGCTGTTTGCCTAAGAATCACCGATATGAAAATCATTTTATATATTCTAGCCGTTATATATATTCTGTATAGTTGTATCTTTTTAGTTTCTAAGATACAAGCAATTTTGTGGGGGAAAAAACATTATCCATGATTTAATACAAAGAGAACATTGCTCTCTTCAGATCTGAGGACTAAAATAGCCCACTATTCCTTTATGTTTTCACTCTCTTGAGGGCATGGCTGTAATATCTTAGGTTATTGAAACAATTTGATTTTCCCCCTTAGTGATTTCTTCTTGAATCCTTAGTTTAACTTCGTAGTGTGATTTACCCTTATAATATGTGACTTCATAAAAATGACATGCCTATATCTGTCATAATTATATCTGATCGTGGCATTTTAAAATCAACTTTGAGGTATAATTTATACGCAGTAAGGGCACCTGTTTTAAGTGTATAGTTTGATGAGTTTTGACACATGTACACCCTTACAGTCACCAACAGGGTCAACATTTCTGTTACCTCAGACAAGTCCTTTCATTCAACTTTGCAGTCTTAGCTCTCCCCTCCCACTTTGCCCCACCAACTACAGATCTGCTTTCTGTCACTATAGATTAGTTTTGCTTTTTCTAGACCTCCAATTGAAGGAAATAATATGGTATGTAGTACTCTTTTTCATCTTGCTTCTTTTATGCAGAGTCATGTTTTTGAGATTTATCCATATAAATGGGAGTGTTCATAGTTTAATCCTTTTTATTGCCGGAGACTTTTCCATTGTCAGGACATGCCACATTTGGTATACCTACTCACTAGTTAGACATTTGGATTATTTATACTTTTTAGCTGCTGTTTCTCCAAGTGGTTGTCATGAACCAAGTATCTTCACTTTGAGACTAATCATTCAGTGTGGTATATGTTATTTCAGGCACACAGAAAGTGTAGAGAACAGCATAGCTTGGTATTTTATTGTATTTGCTTCAATTTGGGTGGGGGGACAGAAAAAAAAGGACATAGATAATGTGGAAGCTCCCTGGATTTCCTCTTTTCTGGTCAGATCATGAAGAAGATAACTATCATCTTTAATTTATTTTTAGCATTGGTAAACTTTAAAAATATTTTTGCCCAACAAGAATAGACATGTAATACTTTTCATGTTTTTAAGATTCATGATTTCACATTGTAAATGTAATTACTAATTTTTTTCTTACCTTTCTATTTTCATATGTATATATGCTGACATGTGCCTCTCTGGTTTATTCATTTGACCTTTCTAGGAAGGTACCACGATTATTTAAATGTAATATTGAAAAAGCAGTATTGCAATGGAAGTTTTTATATGCCTTCTTGCTCCTATGTGCACTTTTCTAGGTAGGGCACACACACAAAACACACATACATCTAGAAACAGAAGTTTTGAAGGATAGAGCATGCCCATGCAGCTTCAACCTCAATGAGCAATGCCAAACTATTTTCTCTTTGTTTTGCCAATTTGCATTCTTACCAGTAATACCATCACTCTCATTGCTAGCACTTTATTATTGACATAAATTTTGTCAGTCTAATGAGTTTGAATTGATTATGCTATTGTTTTAATTTGCAGTTCTCCTGAAGACTTAATGCCGTTGACTTTTTAAAAATGCATTCATTGCCTGTGTTCATTCCTCTCCTGTGACTTTTCTGTCCACAACTTTTACTTATTTGTTTACTTTTTGAACTTCTCCGTGTATTCTTGACATGAATTCTTTGAGGATTATATACTTAACAAATGCTTATTCTCTTTATGCTTTCTCTTTTTAACTTTTTTAAAGGTATCATTGTTTTACAAAATAATGAAGTCAAGTTTATCAGTCTGTTATTTTAAGGTTGGGGCTTTTGGTATCTGGTTGAAGAAATATTTTTCCTTTGGCTTCCTGCTTAAGAAAATTTTCTCTACATTGAGTTTTATAAGGATCTTAGACTTTCCTTATAAACCTAAAAGCTTTGCCTTCTTATGTGTTTAATCCACCTGAAATTTACTTTTAATTATGATAATATGATATGACAGAGGCAACAAAATTGATTTTTTTCCCCTATGAATAGCAATTGTTTCTCTACTTTTAGTGCATAATCCATTCCTCTCCCTAGTGATTTGTAATGATATCCCACATGTTAGGAGAGTCTGTTATTTGCTGCACTTTTTTTCCCCCCAATATTCTTATTATCTGTTGAGTCTTTCAACCTTGTTCCTTGAGGAATTGCTTTAGCTGCTTTTTCGGTGTGTATCTTCCATATGATTTTTAAAATCAATGTGTCAAGCTTCAGGCACATAAACATCTTGTTGAAATTGTAATTAGAATTAGACTGAGTTTGTAAATTGATTATGAAAGAGGTGCCAGATTGAGCTGTTGAGTTCTCCCAAATAAGACCATTGTATAATTCTCCATTTGGGTCATAGGTATTCTTATAGAGTTATGCATTTTTCCCATTAGTGTCTAGCTTTATTACTAGGCAATTTATACTTTTTGTTTTTATTATAAGTAGTATCACTGTTTAAATTACATATTCTGAGTTTGTTGCTTGTTACCTAAAACACAGTTGATTTTGCTGATAGCAGCCTTGCTAAATTCCTGCTACTTCTTATAGTTTATCTGTAGAGTTCCTCATGATTACTGTGTAGTTATTTATGTTTACTGTGAATAAATGTTTGCTTTTTCCTTGCAATCTTTATATTTTTTATTTGTTTTCCTTGAATTAACTGCATTAGCTGGGTCTTCTAGTTCAGTGCTAAATAAAACCTGTGATAGTGATTGTCTTAACTTTAAAAGGAATGCTTCTAGAGTTTTTCACCATTGTTTGTTATATAGGTTTTGGATAGATAATCTTTGTCTCATAGCAAAACCTTTATCTGGTCAAGGAATTTTCCTTGACTCCTATTATTTTGTAAATTTTTAAATATTTTAATACTGTGTTGAAATTTATTGAATTCTTTCTGTGAATAATTTTTCTTCTTTAATTTCTTAATTTGATGAATTGAGTTAATGCATTTTCTACTGTACTAATTTCCACATGCCTTTTTTGAGTTAAACTTAATTTGTTCAGGATATTACATTTAAAGTGTGTGCATATTTTATTAAAGATTTTTTGCATCATCTTAATGAATGAAAATGTCCTGTAATTTTTTTTTATGCTGTTTTTTATACTCATTCTGCAAATCTTGTGAAATGAGTTAGGACACAATCTTTTTCTGTTTTCTGAAGCAAAAAATAGAATACTTGTTTAAAATTCAGTATATATTTAACTATCAGTTGATTTTCTTTAATGTTATAAACTATTAGGGTCTTTAAATTTATTTTAGTTTTATTTTTCTAGAAAAACATTCTGTATGTTTTTAAACATATGTATTTGTTGGATGAAGTTCATTATTGCATTTTCTTATGTCTTAAAAAATACCTACTAAGATCTGTAGTAATGATTGTGTTACTTTAAAAAAATTAAGATTTTTTTTACTATGAATATTTTTAACCTCTCATAAGTAAATATCTGTTTAATGAAATTAAAGTTTGACAAGCAAATATGTTTTTAATGAAATTAACTTTTTGTACATGTATATCTGTATTTGAGATGATCCATAAAAAAGATTTTCTTCTTTCACCCTGTCCTCTGTCTTACGAATAATTAATAATTGATAGTTCCTTTCAGTGTGAGGAAGAATCGATTACTTTTATCACTCTTCTTCCCCCACCTTTAACCTTGGCCCTCCACATATGGAATCTGTGATATGAGAACAGATTACTCACCTACCCACCTGCTTAACCTTTTCATGAATGTATCAATAAGTATTTCAATCAGTTTCTGCATCTGATAGAATTCCAAGGGCTACATAGCTCTCATTATAAACTTGCATTTCACGGGTTTGGCGTGTGGCTTAATTGCTTACAGAAATTTATAAATGTTTTAATATTTACAGCTAAATTTATATATATTTTACAAAACAAAGTTATCGAAGATTAAAAAATAAATTAGTGTCCAGGAATTAGTATATGAGCCCAATTTTTGTAAGCAGAAAAGGGGTTAGTGTTAGGTGAATTCATCCTGTTTGTATTCATCCTGTCTGTATGTTTAAGCACAGACATAGCTATGCAATGATACAGACATTAGAGAAGGTGAAATTTAGAGAAAAATATGTGGACTGTGGTTTTTGAAGTTTTTTTTAAAGAGTATGTGTTACTTTTTAATTCCAAATATATGAAATTAATGAGTTTTTCATCTGACTCCTTGGAATTATTAATAAAATGTCAGTACTGTAATTACTAATATAAGATAGTTAACTTTTGTAGACGCATCAGTACTTTTTCATTCTTTTTAAAAATCAAAATAAATATTTATATAAAATATTTGCAGTCTATAAGAATTACCAGTAGACAGTAAACATTTTTAAATGAAGTTAGGCAACATTGGCCTTTTTAGCAGGTAAATGTTCTTAATGTCATGCATTGTTTTCCTTATGTGTTTTTCAATGTCATTACTTGACTGGAATCTTGAAAGTGTAGATTAGGCTGCAGTGGTTGGCAAACTTTTTCTTTGTAGGTGCAGATAGCGTATATTTTAGGCTTGGCAAGCCATGTGTTTCTCTTGAAAATAATTTACTGGCTTTGTAGCACAAAAGCGACCATAGACAATATGAAAATGAATAAGCACTGTTGTGTTCCAATAAAACTTTATTTACAGAAGCAGGTGGCAGGCCAGATTTGGCCCACAGTTTCTCCTTTGCCCAACTTGAGCATGTAAAATGATTGACAAGTACTAGTGAGAATGAGTGAGAAGTTTTAACATAATGATAAACATGTTCTCATACGTACGCTGTGCTGGCTGAATACTTTCAGAACTTAGAAAAAAATCTATTACTGCAAACTGACCTATGTAATTTTACATATTAAAATGGATCATACTTAGAAATAGATGTAATAGTCATTCAAATTTATAATTCATATTTCGTTTTACTACTGCCAAGTAGTGGTCATTGAAACCTTACCTAACAAAGATTTTTAAAATGTCATTTTGAAATATTTTTGTTTTAACTTCATGGTTTAAATATAAAACTTTGAAAGTTACATACATGAATTTATACACTGTCCATACACATAGACTAAGCGATTGGAATTAGTGCAAAAGATATAAAAAATATGAAAAGATGTTAAAATGATTATATAGGATTTTTTCGATAAGTCAGAGTTTTAAGACTTCTTGGAGTAATTTTGTTGTTCATGATTTTGTTGAAATCTAGCAATAAGATACTATAAGTAGACATAGAGAAAGTAGTAGTTTCTATTCAATGATCTTTTGCCTCTTTGTAGTTAGACTGAACGCTGATTTTTTTCTCCTCCTTGTCTTTACCTCATCCAGTCCTGGAAGTTGCAGTCCTCAGTACAGAAGGACAGATCCAAGACTTTAAATTTCCTCTGGGCATCAAAGGAGCAGGCAGTTCAATCCAGCTCTCTGCAAATACTGTCAAACAGAATAGCAGGAATGGTGAGATGGAAGTCGGGGGATTGACGGGTTTTTTTTCTTGTTGTTCAGTTAAACCTATTAATTCTAAAATGCTATTATGTATTTAACTCCTTATTTAAGAACAACGGACTAATATTTAAAATAATCCTTTACCCTTTCCCAATAAACTTAATCTAACTAAATATTCTATAAGGACTCTTTCACGGTTGATTCTCATTTTAGAGTATCTTAGTTGATTCACAAGCTCATCTTCTGTATGTCATATGACTATTTTTACCTTCCTAGGACTTGCAAAGTTGGTGTTTATCATTTACCGCAGTCTGGGACAGTTCCTTAGCACAGAAAATGCAACTATCAAGCTGGGTGCTGACTTTATAGGTCGTAATAGCACCATTGCAGTGAATTCTCACGTCATTTCAGTTTCAATCAATAAAGAGTCCAGCCGAGTATACCTGACGGATCCTGTGCTTTTTACCCTGCCACACATTGATGTAAGTTAATGTATGCTAATGAAGTCGCGGAAGGTTATGAAACCAGAGCGGAAGGAGAGAAAAATTGATGTGCTGGAGCCGAGAGAGAGGACTGTGGAGATGGGAAGGGGGAAAGAGAGACTTTTCCTTTTGAATTGTAAATGTTGGACCAGGTCAGAAGCGCAAGTTTATTTAAGTCTGTGAACATGAAAATTAAATGAGCTGGGTTCAGTGATTATTAGAACTTAAGTGTATTCTTAATGAAAGCTAATTCAGTAATCAACAGGAAAATGTAAATGGCTCTAATTTGTTTTCAAATGAAAATTAACTCTTACCTTAGCAGCGGGATAGCTGAGTATTAACTCTTAGGACTCTGCCTCTTGAGTGTGGCAAGTTTCTTGTTTTTTGTTTTTCAATTTGTTTTACCTGTGATATTTGACACAACTGTGATGAAATATTGCATTTAAAAAATATAGAATCGAGGAGACAGGATTCCTCCGCCTTAAAATGCAATCTGGTACTGAAGTAACTACACTATTTTGGAAGACTGTCAACAGAATTTCTGGCTATTGTTATAAGTAGAATGATTTAGGTGCCCACAGATAACAAAACAGATTTCCAGACATGGCAAAGAAAAATAAATTTGAGTAGCTTTGTTACTCATATTAGCTTCAGTTGATTCACTGTTAAGAAATTTGAAGTACTAACAACATGATTCTAATTGGTGCTAATATGTCTCTTAGAACTAACCAAAGATGAACCCAAAATTGAAAGTGGATTTTTAAAATACTTGGTTCATACAGTTTTCTGAGAACAAATTTATGGTTCTAATTTTATTAGAAAGGAAGAAAAAAATATATTCTAATGTACCATCAATATGTAAAATCATAAAATGGAAATGGTAATTGTATAAAATGAGTCTTTGGTAATTTAGAGTACACTTTAGAGTGTTTCGGACTATAAAGCCCCTTTTAAGCTAGATAGCTGCTTGTATAACGTAGTCCACAATTTTGCTGATGAAAAACTTTATAGTCCGAAACATGCAAAGTTTAATCTAAATTACCTTTTATACATATTAAACAATTGCTATTGCCATCTTAGAGTATAAAATCCTAATTTTATCTTGTCATTTTATTTCCCAGCCTGACAATTATTTCAATGCAAACTGCTCCTTCTGGAACTACTCAGAGAGAACTATGATGGGATATTGGTCTACCCAGGGCTGCAAGCTGGTTGACACTAATAAAACTCGTACAACGTGTGCATGCAGCCACCTAACCAATTTTGCAATTCTCATGGCCCACAGGGAAATTGCAGTAAGTATTCACACTTCTAATTAGTAGCAGAGAAAAACCTCTGATTCAAAACAGCCTGTGTAATAGACCTGTCTTTGGGTGCTTATTGTAACTAAAAAACAAAGTAATGGGGATTTCTAATCATTTCTACACTGTCCATATATTTTAAGAAGTCGTGGGTTACTTCTCAAAATCATGTGCTATATCTTTGAATGAAAATTAACTCTTACCTTAGCAGTAGGATGGCTGGGTATTAACTGAGCATTACAGACTTGTTCTGAATTTTTCTCCTTGGGGCAGGTGTTTGGTAGAGGCAACCTGGGATTTTAAAAAAAGAATAGCATTAGGTCTTACAAGAGTGGCAGAAGTCTCTACAATTTATCCGCTCTTCTCATCTTGAATGTTTGAATGTAATTTTACAACTTTCACTTTAAGTTTCCTAACCTCTTTGCGCACCGTGCAAAGCTGCAGGATTTTGAAAAGCCAAAATGGCTTCTGAAATCCATCTCGGTATTCTTTCTTATGATTAAGCAAATGATGGCCGGAAGATAAAAGTGTTTTAAGAAGTATGGTACAAAAATCTCAAGTCTTTGGTATACTCAGCTCTTCATTATGTGAATGTATAAAAGCCCAAGGAGAAAAATCAAAACTTAAAACTTGGCTTGTTTGTTAGTCTGGAAATACCATTTTTAAATGCCATTATTTTTTATCATAACCAAATAGTTTTTATTCTGTCATGTAACTATTTTCCATATGTTTGTGTAGTTCATTGAATCATTTTTGAATAATGGGGCTCTTGCATTATTTTCTAGGTAAAATCTTCCTCTTTCATAGATCATCCTTTAAATAGAAAAGTCAATAAGATAATATTGAACTTTATTATATGATCAGAATTTCTTTTTGGTATTGAACCCTGTTTGAACATAAATGAGTATTATTCTTCAAAGTGTTCAGCAGGAAACATGAGCTCTTTGTGTGAAAGCTGTCTTTCCTCTAGCGGACGTGGGGCAGGAATCCCAATGTTCCTCTGTCTTCTTTTTTTCAGTATAAAGATGGAGTTCACGAACTACTCCTCACAGTCATCACCTGGGTGGGAATTGTCGTTTCCCTTGTTTGTCTGGGCATCTGCATCTTCACCTTCTGCTTTTTCCGGGGTCTGCAGAGTGACCGAAATACTATTCACAAGAACCTTTGCATCAACCTGTTTATTGCTGAATTTATTTTCCTAATAGGCATTGATAAGACAAAATACACGGTAAGCACCTGCCATGTTTATTGACCTTGGGTCTCTGAACATTATTTTAATAGGTGTGAATCCACATAGGATGCTGATATTAATATTTGATTGTGTAACTTATTATAGTTGATATAAGCAGTATGGGAAGAAAATTTGCAATAGATTAAGAGACAGCCCAGTTCCTAAGGAATATTATTATGAAGTAATTTATTTTGTGTATTAAGGTACGGTCGAATGTTTCTGGCTTTTTATTAAGACATGCATTTTGGATAGAAGAATGCTGAAGATAATGGAATGTGGAGATGCTATTTTAAAAATTCTTATTTTGCTTACATAGTCGTTCTGGCCAGTGATTCCTTCTTCATGTTCAAAGCCATTTATTCATCGTGAGGTCTCAATGTCAGAAATAGAACTTAATTATTGAATGTTTCACCCTGTATTCATCTGCACTGGGATGAATTTAAGAACTCCAGATATGGTGGGAAAATAATCCTAGGTAATTGGAGCCAGGGTATTTGTCATTAAAGCAAAGTTTTCAAATTCCATTATAGGAAAAAATAGAAATTGTATATTTGCAAACAACTGTCTCAAAGACTTGTGAAGCAAATCACCTCCACGTGGAATATTCAGTTTTCATAATAGACAATCCAAGGAGAGAAATTACATGTTTTCTTCTCTGATGTTTAATTTCACTAAAAATAGCAGTGCCTTATAGTGATCAAATCTAGCACAGTTGGCTTTATACTCTGTAAGAATTATAGTCTTCAAATTCGGTAGTCTTCATAACTTGTTTCCATTTATGAAAAAAATGTTTTGAGGAAGCAGTAGTGTACTCTAAATAATGTATTTTAAAAACAGTAGTGATTTTCGTGAGCGAATATCTGATAGCTTTAGAGTGAACTGTTTGCATTCATTTTTCCTTTGTGTTTTTTGCTCTTTTCCTTTATAGATTGCATGCCCAATATTTGCAGGACTTCTACACTTTTTCTTTTTGGCAGCATTTGCTTGGATGTGTCTAGAAGGTGTGCAGCTCTATTTAATGTTAGTTGAAGTTTTTGAAAGTGAATATTCAAGGAAAAAATATTACTATGTTGCTGGTTACTTGTTTCCTGCCACAGTGGTTGGAGTTTCAGCTGCTATTGACTATAAGAGCTATGGAACAGAAAAAGCGTAAGTAATTGCAAGTGACCTGAGTGTTTTTCAAGTGAATAATTTTTTAAAGCCTGTTAGCTGTCAGTGAAGGTCCCTGACAGATTAAAATAGCATCTGAAAGCTTTATTGGTAAGAGAATAGTCATACCGCGCACACATTACAATCAAGTCTTTTGTAATTTTCTAGGTTCAGAGAATTTGTACCAGAGTACAAATTCTGAATTATGGACTTTTCTTTTTAACACAAAAGATTGACCTGAAACAAGTTGAAAAAGTAAATAACTTTTTGGCTTTCGAAAGATATTAAGTAAAAATTCTTCTGAAACTTAAGGCAGCTGACAGGTTTAACCACTTCTTTTTAAGCTAATGCTTCATTTGGCCCCTGGTGTAGCCAACACTCATTCCAGTTTGTGGCGGGAGCACATTCTATTCCATATGTTTTACTTTGATAATATTTTATCAGGCAGTTTGAAAGGATTAAAGTAAGTCACTGTTTTTCATTTAGAAAAATATAGATATTTACGGAACGTGTCAAAAGGTAGACCTAGCCATGTTTCCAAGGATTTTATATGCTAGAGGCATGATTTTCCCTTCCAATTCTGTTTTTTTATTTGTTTGTTTTTCCTTTGATAAAATTAGTTACATAAAGATTCTTTGGACTAAAGAAAGCTTTTTGACTATACAGATTATGAAAGACAAATAAAAGAAGTTCAGTGGAGATTCAATGTTATGTGAAAAATGAACCACGAAGTAAAATCTGTCTTAATAAGTTTATGTATCATTTACCCTAACACTGTATGAGTTCTGTGCTTTGATTTATTTTTCCAGTACTGGCCCATTCCTGGTAGAGGTATTATATTTATTCCACACGGTTTTGCAACGAACATAACATCTGAACAGGGGCTTTTGGCAGGGGTGGGTCTGTAGTGTTCCATGAATTAAGCACTTTAGCTCAGTCAGATACAAAAGGCACGTTTTGAAGATTACATGTAGAACTTTAAAATGATGAAGCCATTTGGAATATTGAATTTCAAGTCTGTCTTAGGAAAATCAGAGATTATAAGTATTAAGGGGTGGGTGGTGTTTATTGTTTTCTCCCTGCAAGCACAGTTTAGTACTCTTTTTATCAAATATAAAACCAGCAGGTTGAAGTAAATAAATTGCTATCCTTTGTTAAGTCAAAACCAGCAAATAATTCAGAGCTGTTAGAGTTCGTGCACATGATAAATGAGTTTTCAAAGACAAATGTAGAGACAGTTGTATTTTTTAGGTATTTAAAATTCTGTTTTCCTTGTGATGGTAAGGATCCATTGAAGCTACTAATGCTTATACGTTTCTTTTCATTACAGTTGCTGGCTTCACGTTGATAACTATTTTATATGGAGTTTCATTGGACCTGTTACCTTCATTATTCTGGTAAGCAGACTCTCTTTTCCCTTCCTTTTTAGCTTGCTGCTTTGGCAGTGCTAGTCAAACAGGTACTGTTTGTTTTTTGTTCATGTATCTGTGCATTCTAGGATTTACAAATATCTATCTCAAGAGATCTTGTTCTACAGTGTATTTTAAATATATGCCATTATTGAGAGTGTGTACACTTCCTAATTAATACTATTTCTGAAAATCATCATTCCTCTAAAAAGTAGTTTTTCTTATTTCCAATTCAATATACTGAAATAGGTCATAATCTAAACAATATACTTCATATAAGCTCTGTTAAGAATGTTTCAGAAAAGTAAAAGAACACTCACTCCCTTAGTTTTTATGATCCTAATTTTCACATAGTTTTTAGTACTTTTAAATAGATGACCACACCCTAAATTTTGTTTTAGGGCATAAGTTTAGATTAATGAATGACTATTAAGTCGACTTTAAACTCATTAGAAATAAAATTACTTTTCTAAGACAGACTACCAAATGAAAGTATTGATTTTTAAGAAATATTATTTTTAAACAAGTTTGATTCAAGCTAAAAATAGCGACATTAAGATATTTTAAAACTTTCTACACTATCCTTAGTCATTTGAAATATAGTTGAAAAAAAGAGTGAGCTAAAGTATCTTGGTTTTGGTATTTAAAACTTTCAGTCGTAGCACTATGCTGACAGTGATGGGTGCTATTAACCATTATAAGATTAAAAAGGAAACAAACACAAGTAAATATTACCTATATCTTTTTGTTTCTATTTTAAGGATTTTTTTTCTTAACTTTTTTTCAAGAAAAGTGATATTCATGAGCTCTTTAGGATTTTTTTTGATAGTTAACTAGTGCTTCATAAAATTGCAAAAAAACTTTCAGTTTAAAAAAAAGTAAAACCTTTTCGAGTGGATGCCTATTTGTCATTAAAGTTAATCATTTAACACAATTACTTACACAAAGCGAAATGAAACTTTGAGATGAATCCTGTATGAATCAAACTGGTAAAACATTCTCAAGTATTCCCAGGAAAGCTGATTCTCATCAGAGTTATTCGATCCAGATGATTGCCCCAGTTTTCGTTCTTGGCGTCCTTATGTTAATACAGCCTAAGCCTATCTAGAATCTAGAGTTAAACAACAAACAGCTGATGGGAAGAGGCCTGCTCCTTGAAGACACAGCCTTTTTTTTTCCCCCTTCCCTCTAAGCTCTTGGTCAAATATGTTTATACTTTGAAAAATATAGACTGCTTTAGGGATATTTGGTCTGTGAAAATAGCATGTTTCTTTCTTTCATACTTCAGTTTTGTTTATATCTCTGAAGATAACTACTGACTTTAGAGCATTAAAGAAAAATTTCACTTAGCAAAAGGAGTTAATGTTCACACCGGTTCATTTTTGAGTAAGAAAAAAAGGTGAAGGACATTCTTTTCACTTTTCTTCACACTGCCTGTTGATAGTGAGTGCCGGCTCTTGCTTATTCATCTTGTTCTTATTATCCTCTACCAAGTCCTTTAGATTGAGATGGGAAGGGCTTTTTGGAACAGTGTTTCCAACTTACAGACAAACAAAAAACACCAGCAGGTAGCAATCCCAGTAGAGAGCTCCTTGGAATTCTCCCCTGCAGATGCTTTGTGCCAACACAGAGCGTAGTGTAGGACTGCCAAGCAGTGACTTGATCTAACCTAAATGGAAATGTGATATGATTGCCAAACTTATGTTTGTTAAAGACACATTTGTCCACATGTCTCCCTCTGGTGATTTAAGGCATTTAAAACTGAATTCAGATACAAATCTTAACACTATAAATAATGTAGTATACTGTCCTTTTAAGGAATACTATGACAAAAATTACCTATTGATATTCCTAGAAAGTATAGCTTTGCCTTTTCCAGGTTTTTGAAGTAAAACGGTTTCACTTAGTTGTATTAAATAGGTGTACATTTTAAATATTAATCTATGAAGAAAAATAATATACTAAGGAAGATAAAACTTCCTACTTCTGCGTTTCTGTAGGATGTCTTGCCTACAGGCACTAGAGTTATTATATCTATGAGAAAAGTGCTGGTAAGCAATGAGCAGTGGGAAACCATTAGTATGCCTGAAATGGTTTAATGAAAGCTTGGATCATGACACGTCAGGAGCTGTTCTTATCATTTGGACAGCTCCATCTGCATCGTTAATAATTAATTCAGTTCAGTAAGAGTTCAGCTCACACACTCATTTAGAAGTCTTCTTCAGAGAACACCTCTCTGGCTGCTAGTCCCAGGGAGAAACAGGTTTCTGCTTGGCTAACAGCAAAGATCTGGAGATACAAGGCTAGTGTGAGAGTTGCATTTGCCAGGTAGCAAAAGCTCCAGGGAGGACAAAAAGGGTCAGAACATGTGCAGTTCAGCTAGGTTACTTCAGAGCGATGTTTCTGTTCCTCTGTCTTATCATATCCATGTCAGCACTGCAAGCTGTGGAATGAATTTTAAGCTGCTAAGCTCAGACGGATGTGATTCAATTGAGCAGGCTGATGACCATAAAACAAACTGTGCACTCCTGTAATCTGTGGTACCTTTTTATTTTTTTCAGCTTCTTTGTTGCTGTTAGTCAATACGGGTGATGTTTAGTTGTACTGTCATTACGCAGTGTTGAATATTATCAGCAAATTATATTGGCATGCTGTTATAGATAGTAATTTGTGAAATTATTTTGGGGGAATAGGTAAAAGAGTGATATTTGTCAGCAGGAGAGAAAGAATGCCCGAGTTTGATGGTGACTCTTTTTGGCTGAATAGAAATCTTTTCCCTGGGATTTGCCCTCATAGAGTTCTGTAAGAGACACCTATCGGTCTGTTTATCTGTAAACACACATGCACACACCCACAAATGCCCACAGGGCTGAAATCTGATTGATTCTTGAATGAGTTGCTTGTCTTCAAAATGATGATCATTATCATGGGCATTTGGGCTGGTGGGTTGATGTGCACATGTAACACAGTCCTAATGTCTAGTAGTGACTTCTGTGTGAGGAATTGAGTAACTGCATGTACTTAACAGGCCTGACAAATCTTTGGGGACATAGCTATGGCTCCACCTTTTTTCCTTTCTCAACCTACTCCAAAATATAATGTTGAAACTCAGTGGCATTTGTACAGGAAAGAAAAAAATGGACAATAGGAGGGGTCAAGGGTGACCGAATTGGAATTGAGGGGAGAGGATAGAGCATGGGTGTGATTTCTTGTATTTTTTAAATGCATACCAAAGGCAGGACAGTAGATTGGGAAAAAGTAAAAGTAAGAAGGAGAATGAAATCACTTCTACTACCAGAAAGTAAAAAGAAACAGCAGCACTGCACAGAAGTGCATTTATGTCATGAGAAAAATGCAGAGGAAAGGGGGCCTTCCCGTCAGATTTCAGAGGCTAGATTCGTGTCGAGTTTAACTATGAGTTTCTTGACCATCTAAATGCCAGCGCATTGGCTAAAAGTTTTATTTTCAGTTTTTCACACTGGAGAATTTGCGGACACTTGGAAAATAACCTGAGAGCCAAAGTCCTTCAACAGTTTTATAACTCTGTTTCCAAAAATCTTAGTGGTCATTGGAAGAGATTCACATTTAGGTCTTTTTAAAAATTTCATTTTAAGTATGTTAGAAACCACAGCTTTTTAAAACTTTCTTTTTCTTTTTACACTGTGAGGTGTATATGTTTGTGTGATATCTAGGTATGTGAGAGTAACTGACGTAAACAGATTTGGAGAAACACAACTAACTGTTGTGGCACACACCTTGACTTGTTGGAAGTGTGGGCATTTTTGCCAGTTGTCAGTCGTGGGATTGTCATGTTTTCAAAGGAAATGGAGAATAAGTTAATTCTGGCAAATCCATCAGGCAGAAATCATTTGAGGAGTATACCTGTTACGATATTTAGGATTTCTTTGAGGCCACATTTTATGTATTAATTTATTATTTATCTTCAATTCACTCGTCTCTGAGTGAGTTTTAAGTTGAATGACTTTTTTGAGAAAGGAAATCCTTTTTTATATAGACCTAGTATGTCTTTGTTTTGTTAGAAGAATCCTAATTTTCTCACTCAGAATCAATTGGTTAATTCTATTTGGAAAGACTGTGTGGGCTGTGGAGCTAGACCACAGTATATATTAAATCTCAGCACTGACCTTAGAGTAGCTGAGTAGTCTTTGGCAAGATACATCTCAGTTATTTGTGGAAGTGCTGCCTGTTAACCTCTGGAGGTAGGATTATGGCTACTTTTTTCCTCTAATGTTTTCAATTTTCTGAACTTGCATCGTGAATATATTATATGTGTCACTAGAAAGATACACAGAACACATATATAATGTTAAAAACCTCTGTTGAGTGAAGGGGGTGAAAGAGAAGAAATGCACCAGTCTGTTATTGAGATAAGTTTTCTGTGGCACTTTCAATTTGGTTAGTCTTAACTGGAAAAAACGACTTTATCCTATATCAGCCTTAATTGTATTTTTAGATAGATAAGTTTAATTCTGTTCTTTCAGTTTTGTTGGAAAAATTTAACCCGATTTTCTCCACTGAAAAATATTTGATTTTTTTTTTTTGAGTTGGAGTCTCACTCCGTTGCCCAGGCTGGAGGGCAGTGGCACACTTATTGCCACCCCAGCGTCGACCTGCTGGGCTCTGGCGATCCTTCCGCCTCAGCCTTCCAAGTAGCCGGAACTACAGGTGCTCACTGCCACACCTGGGTCATTTTTTTTTTATTGTAGAGATGTGGTCTCACCAAGTTGCCCGGGCTGGTCTTGAACCCGCTGGCTCAGGCAATCCACTCGCCTCAGCTTCCCAAAGTGCTGGGATGACAGATGAGACACTGAGCCTGGCCAAATATTTGGTTTTTAACATTTTCTCCCCCCCCCCAGGCAGTTTTTAACATTTTTCTACTCATTTTCTTTTCCCAGCATACTTTATATGTTGACATTTTCCACATTCACTTTCTTTACTTTTTTATAATTTTATACGCTGTAGTGGATAATTAATAACTTTTTTCTTTCTGAAGTGTACTGGTACTGCTAATATTTTGTTCCTGAGTGGATGAAGGATAATTAATTTGCTTAGGACATAATGAACACCGAATTGTGGCCCTTATATGTGTCAGGAACTTGTTAAGAAAAGGAGAGGAAAAAATAACCTTAAGATCAGCAGTTTACAATAAAAAAAAAAAAAATTCTTATCAGGACATCCAAAAAGAAGGGTAGAAAGATTTAAAGGATTTTACTTTTTTTTTTTTTTTTTTTTTTTGAGTTGGAGTCTCACTCTGTCACCCAGACCAGAGTGCAGTGGCTGCTCCCGGCCACCGCAGCCTCTCGACCTGCCGGGCTCCGGCAATCCTTCCACCTCAGCCTTCCGAGTAACCGGAATTACAGGCATGCGCTACCACGTCCGGCTGATTTTTTGATTTATTGTAGAGATGAGGTCTCGCTGCCCAGACGGGTCTCGAACCCGCGGGCTCAGGCAATCCATTCACCTCAGCCTCCCAAAGCGCGGATTACAGGCTGAGCCACTGAGCCCGGCTGGATTTTACTTTTTATCTGTAAAGCCAGCCATCTTACCTGAGAGTTGTAGTCAGCTTATTGTTTGTTATTTGGGTTTTAGTTTGTTTGTTTTTAGGATATTTATACAGTACTTATTTATAACCATTCTTGAATTTTACTAGTTAAGGCTACGGTTACATAAAATAAAAAGTTATAACACAGTGGACTTCACCTTTAAAAAAAAAATAGAGATATACTTTACCATGATTTTTTTTAAAACCCATTGAAATATTTGCTGTACTACCAGAAAGATCTCCCTAATCCTTGTGTGAAGCACATTTATGTGGAGTGAAATGTATCATGTTGTAACATCCCTGAAAATTCAAGCATTTATTTACATCGTACCCAACTAGAATAATCTTCAGAAAATAAAGCCAGATAATATTTCCACAATTTTCTTTACTTTCTCTCTAAACATGTATTTTAAGAAATTAATTTTGTAAACAAAGAGCTGTTTTTGTCTGTAGGTAATTAACATTGAAGGATAGAATGCTCTCTGCCAACCTAGCAAATTATACCTATTAACCTCATTTTATCCCGTAAGAGAGAAGTCTACACCTGAGAGAAATCACAAGGCACAGTAGACACAATGACTGATAGACTGCCTGCATTAAAGCTTTTCTTAACTCGTCTCCTAAACTCCTCGTTAGGAAGGACTTGGCCACTCTCCTGTATTGCCTTATGTCACTTTTCCTAATTATCAAATCAGAAGTCGTGATGGACAAGTGAAATAATCTTATCATGGGATCATGTTGTGACTCAGTAAAAATGAGTTATGCTGATTATCTGCCACTAGGGAATGACATTCATCCTTACGCACGATGGGTGAAATGGGTTCTCTTCTGAATATACTATTTCTGGCATTCTCTCAAGTTGTATAAAGCTCACAAGATAATCTTTTTTTTTTTTTTGTCCCTTTAAAAGTGATCTAAAAATAAAATGCCTCCCCCCCCCCAAAAAAAAAAAAATCCGGGAACAATCTAGCTTAGTTCTATTTTTGGAACATAAAGATGGAACCGCCTCCCTTCCCACCAACATTCTGCCAGGTGTCTGGAGAAGCAAATGCAAACCTGTCAAAACATAACTCCTCTCCCCTGAGTGCACTCATGTTGACCTCTTGGAATCCCCTTTACCTTCCTTCTATGTCAGAGTCTGTCTTCCCTAGTTTGTTTTTGTTTACACCTAAATTCTTGGCACAGCCTAATGTTTAGGACTCAAACAGCCTCTTGTCAGAATTTACCTACTTCCATATAATATGGAGACATGGAAAAAAAGAACTGATGGCTTTTAACAGTTAAAAAACATACACATATCTGTGTGTGTGTGTGTGTGTGTGTGTGTGTGTGTGTGTGTGTATTTTTTTCAAGCTTTATCTTACTTTATATAACAGATGAACATTTTTCACATTATTTTATTTGATCCTCACAATTACCTTATAAATAGATTGTACAAATCTTATTATCCTCATTTATTCAGTCAAAATCAAGAGCTAGGCTCTCAATCAAGTCTTAAAGTTCCAAGCCCAGTAATTTGTCTGTTGTTGGTTACACGATGTAAATACCCCTTCTGAGGAATTCACTTCAGTGTTTCCATCAGATGGCTTTTAGGCCCTGGAGTACATCTAGCTAAAGAAACTAATTTAGGTTTTCTAATTTATTTAATCATTACCACATGATACCGACTTAATGAGGTTGCAATTTCATGTCAAATGATCTATTAAAGAATGGATCATACATAACTGGAGTTTTTTTTTTAAATATAAACTCAACGTGATCATTGCATACATAAACTAAAATTGAATCAGTGTCTATTGTATACACATGCCAACAATACATTTGCAAAAACTGAATCATTTTAACTCTTTGTTCATAGTGGTCTAATTTTTTATTTGTTGTAACAGCTAAATATTATCTTCTTGGTGATCACACTGTGCAAAATGGTGAAACACTCAAACACTTTGAAACCAGATTCTAGCAGGTTGGAAAACATTAAGTAAGTATTTTGTATTTCAATTTTAATACTTGACAAACTAAGTAAAAGATATTCTCCACAGGGAACACAGGGATTTCTACCTTCCATTAACTGTAGCAATTATTCAGATTGAAGTTTTACTGATCAAGGTTGAATCTCACTGAAACCATGTCACAGACATTGGTCAATAATTAGATAATAATTTCTGTCTTGCTCTAGAGCCAAGAAATTGTTTCATTGGCTTCGTGGAAATTTTGTATCACCGTAGCAATTTCATGTAAATTTAAAATGCAATTGAAGATGATTTCCCTATTTGCATGGCTGATATGATTATATTAAGTTTGTTTTGTTAAATGACTTTTTGCTTTAAGGATTCTGAGCAGTTTCTACTCCTAATCCTGTTTTCCTAAGAGAATTTACTCTATTACTATTGTTAACTTGAAGATTATCTGTTGTTTTCATGCTAATTAAACACATGTTTACTTTATCTCGGTGTCGAATAAAAGCTTCAGTTTTCCAACAGTGGGGAAAAATGCTATCTAATTAACCAAAAATGATAGCTGTTGATTCATTAAATCACCTTATGGAAGAATGTTCAGAGTTCTTTTATAGAAGTATGAGCCTTTTAATTTAGAATTTGGAGCGGTAGTATTGGTTATATTGGGATTGTGAAAAAATAATATTTTTAATGTAAAAAATGGCAGATCTATAGGAAGGGCAAATTTTCTTAAAAATTAGATGCTTTGGCTAGGTTAGTGCCAGCTTCATTGCATGTTGCATGGTAAGAGAGAGAGCTAATCTTCAGCATCTCTCTCTTTTCTTCCTTTTCCTCTTTCTGTCTTCTCATCTACACCAGTAATTACCGTGTTTGTGATGGCTACTATAATACGGACTTACCTGGGTAAGGTAGACCCCTACATTAACAAACTTATGGCATGATTTATATTCTTTACAAATCCGTCGATGTCATGAATTGCCCTTAATTTTTATAATGATTTTGGAATATCTAATTTGCTGTCGTACTTTTAAACTATAATATGCCTTTATTTCTTTAATTGCTTGCCTCTGCATTTTGACTGATTTATAAAATATATAAATGCTTTCTTATTACTTTCTATTTTAATTCTGTCTAATAATTTTGTTTCTCTTTTCTGCTTATAATGCTTTCTAGCTATGAAGATAATAAGCCATTTATCAAGTAAGATCATTAGTTAGACATGGAATGCACTGACCTTAAATCCTTCTCATTCCGTCCTATTTTCTACAATTTTTTTCTCCTTAAGCTATTCATGATGAACTCTCTCCAAAATTATTTTATTTTGAAGTTGTTCTCATGTTTTTGTCCCATTTCAGCTAGGTTTCTTCATGCTTTAGTTCAAAAACCTTAGGTTCACCTAAGACTAGTTTATTAGAACCTGAAGTTTAGGTGTTAAGTGATTATCTGCCATTTAACCTTTCTGTATGTGTCACATTATTCAGTGTCATTTGAGTGCACCACAGGAGTAAAAATACAGGAGTAAACTAATTCACTCCTTAATTTCTTTGACCAAAAATGTACATAAAAGACAAAGTCTTAGGGGATATTTGATACCTTGTATTTTAATATAGTTTTGCTACCTTGTCTATTCTGGAGTAAGAGAAGGTCATACCTGCTGTTGCTGTTTTCACTGGAGGCTGCAGTACTAAATGCTATTGTTCTTTCTTAATCAATGAAAGGTTAAAGCCAAAATGCTGTTGAATTTGAATGTGAACATAGAGAAAGTCAACTGCTACTACTGATATGTTAATTTTTAAGCGTGATCTCTGTTCTTTCCTCATGGAACCTGTTAAAAAAATTCACTTTATTTTTTCAGGTCTTGGGTGCTTGGCGCTTTCGCTCTTCTGTGTCTACTTGGCCTGACCTGGTCATTTGGGTTGCTTTTTGTAAATGAGGAGACTATTGTGATGGCATATCTCTTCACCATCTTTAATGCTTTCCAGGGAGTGTTCATTTTCATCTTCCACTGTGCTCTCCAGAAGAAAGTAAGTAACTGAAAACATCTAGGGCCCAGTTCACTCATTCTCTGATTTGAAAATAATAGATGTAATAAAGAAGATCTTAAGTTACCACTGGCATATTATTAAATAGCATTGAATTTTTAATAATAGATAAATTTTAATACCTGTCTTGAAATTTAGGCTTCACATACAGGATATGTCCATACCAGTCATTTTTTCCATCTCAGTTTATGAACGTTGCAAACTAGATACTTGTTTTACGGTTTCTTCTATGCTAATGAGGTTTATAAAATGCTATGTATAAAGGGTATACAAGGTAAAAGAGAAAGTTAAATAAGCTCATTATTTGCTCACTAAGGGAAATACAGCGATCCAAAATGAAACCGAGTAGGATAAATGTTGTTAATTCTTAAAACACCAGACACAGAAAAAAATAAATATTAACGTTGCCTTTTGAGTAATTTTGAAAGATCTAAAGACCAGTAATTTAGTACCTCACATCTTACTATTTTGTCTTGATTTTGTATTAAGTAGAGTCAGCAAAAATGACTGAAAACTTGCAGATGAAAAACTTTAATCTGTAGCAAGAAGATGTAAATCTAACAAAATCGCTTGGCTGCCATTTAAGTTTACAATTTCCTTGTCTTTCACCTGGTGTCAACCTTTCCCTGCCTCCCTATCTAATGTACTCTTTTTATTCTGTTATTGCTAGTTGGTCACTAAATTGAACAGAGAAATAGAATTGTAAAAGTGAAAACTATTATGTTTTCAGTCCTGACAAGATGATAGTGTTGTTACTTCCATCAGTTCTGAATAAGCTATAATTTTGAGATAATGACAGTGGAATGTGCAATACTGACAGATAATGTACATTCACAGCAATATAGGCATTAGGCAAAACCAACATGGAGGGTATTATTTGGATAAAATACCATTCTGATTGCCATTGTCTTGGTCATACAGCATTTTATAGCCGTCCACAGCCATTAAGTGTGTAGACATTTTCCGTGAGGTATGATGTGTTATTTTAATAACATTGAACTTTAACTTTCTAAACATTGTATGGGGATAACCTTAGTAATTACTTTGGCTTTTATCTATTTCCTACATCAGCAAGCATTTTGCATGCAAGCATATCATCATATATTTGCGATGTCTGTGTTGTTTTGCCAGACACCTTTGACATAAAACATACACATAACAGAAAAAGGGTGAGGTAGCCATTAGTTTCTCATAGTTGTGTGTATTAACTGAACAAGGAGGTTTTACTCTGCTTTTTAAATTAACAAGCATATTTTACAGCTATCATGTAGCACTTCTTTTGAGCATGTTCTACTTAGACACCAATACTTCTGATAGGGTGTTGTACAGATGGATTGTTTAAGAATATGTAGATATTTATATGTTCTTATTTATAGATATTAAATAAATAAATATTTATTTATGTATGGATATTAAATAAATATTTATTTATTTATATAAAATAGTTAAGTTAAAATCATGGTTCTTACTGCTGGAATGAGCGTGTTTAGGCCAAGAAAATGCTTTGAAAACTCAACCACATTGTGACTTATTCTAATAGGTATAATTAAATAAAGCTAAAAAAATGAAAGCACAAGTGTGCTTCAATGTAAAAGGTCACCTAATGACTAATTTTTTTATTTTGCGAGAAATAAGTGTCAAAGTCATAGTCTGTGCAGAGTTACTGTTCACAGACTTGCCATGGGGGGAAGCCTTTGAGTGTTTTCGTAACCTACTTAAAAAAAAAATTTCCTATGTGACTTCTCCTCGTCTCTCCTGTAATGTCAGAGTCTGGCTGTAATCCACAATAAAGCATGTGTATATGCCATTATATCTGCAACAATCTCCCCACCCCTCCCATTTTTATACCAGTGCTCTAGGGAGGGCCTGTTATTTGGCAGTTGTTTGGACTTTACTTTTTAAAGATTAGTCGAAACTTTTTTTTAGCTCTAACAACTTTTCTATCTAGTCATATATCCAAGCTTCGGGGGAAAAAGGGAAATTACATGGGTAACTCATTAATGTGAATGGAAATTGCATAAATAGTTCCCTTGTGTGCTAATGAAGTGAATAGACATCTTAGACTCTCTACACTAAAAGTTAAAGCTAAGCACATCAGAAAATGAAGAAAGCATTCCATCCTAATTAGTGGCAAATGTATCAAAGTACGGTTTTTCTTTATTCTTGTGCCAAAGTAGTCTTGTCATTATAAAGAGGTTACCCGCAAAACTATGCAATCCAGTAAAAGCAGTTTCTGTATTGACCTACCTAAGAAGACATGAGGAACATGAAAAAAACGTTTAAATGACTAAATTACAGAGTAGTTCAATGTAATTAATCAAGAAAAACACTAAATTTTTGGCCCTGTTTTCTTAGCTTAGGAAGCAAAATCGGGGTTACTAAGTATATAGATAGAAGACAGTTTTAAATATATTGTTTTTTATTAATTAATAACTAACATTGGCATAATAACAGGGAAGAAAGTATTTCCATATGTTACATCACAATTTCAAGGATTCCACAAGCCAGTCTGCTGGACAGAGATTTTTCTGGTTACGATTTCAGGGACTTTAATTGAACTTGATTTTGTAAGTTCAATTTATTTTTTTTCACAGATAAGTCTTAGTGGAGCTTTAATTCTTCTCGGTTGTCTTCACTGTTCGTTTAATTAGAGCGAAGCAAGTGGGTTCATATTAATCCCCTGGTCTCGTGATTATTCATCGCAGGTACGAAAAGAATATGGCAAGTGCTTCCGACACTCTTACTGCTGTGGCGGCCTCCCCACCGAGAGCCCCCACAGCTCCGTGAAGGCATCCAGCACCAGGACCAGCGCTCGGTATTCCTCTGGCACACAGGTAACAAAGAGTGTGACAGCATCTTTAATTAACCTTATTTATAGAAAGCCTACTGAGACATGTTCTGTTCAGATGCACTAATTGTCTCCTCATTATAATGATCTAGATAGCAAATACTTGCTTTTTTAGTATTTTGGTTTTGATTTCTTCTTAAAGACTTCCTCAAGGTGTTTCTTGGGATGCAAATATCCTTTTTTGTGGAGTGTTGTTTTGGAAGGACATCATAATCATTTCAGATCCTAAGGCCATGTAGCACGGTGCTCATAGGGCACTGAATGAACATTTGTTGAATAATCAGTCATCTCCACTTGGTTTAAAAAGGCAATAAAATAACACATGAAGAGTGGAAGGTTAAATACTACATAGTTACTTAGTAGAGGAGCAGCAGGGCACTGTAGACTTTGACAACTTTAGATCAGGAACAACACGCATTCTTTAAAAGGCCAACAGGTAATCCCACACAGATTGTTCAGGGTACATCATTGTGTGTCTTTCATAAGGTAAGCTTGGGGAAACTAACAAAACGTGTTTGTCTTGCTATTTTGTATTAATAGAGTCGTATAAGAAGGATGTGGAATGACACTGTGAGAAAGCAATCTGAATCTTCCTTTATCTCAGGTGACATCAATAGCACTTCAACACTAAATCAAGGTCAGTTCTTAGGAGAAGTTTAGTCTATTATCATTTATCAAAGTACATATAAATTCCTTTTATTCAGTAATGCAAAAAATATAATTTTAAACTCTATATTAACAGGGTAAGGCTGGAAAAGGTAATATTTAAAATAGACTTAACCACAAATTAAAATATTTTCCTAGTGAGTACAAATTTATCCTTTCCAAGACATCTATGAAAGTTTTCTTTATAAAACATTAATATAACTAGAAGGACTACTGTTCACATAAAACAGTGCCCGTCAAAATTCTTATTTGTAAATTTATTTTCTCTCAGAAAGTAAATTCTGAAAACCTTTGTAATAATCTTCACAAACAAAATTAATACACATAAAAGTTTATAATTTTTTCAATATCATTTATGTGTCTAGAGTGACAATTTTTTTTATTTTGTTTTATTTTTGTAGAGACAAAGTCTCACTATGTTGGCCAGGCTTGTTCTTGAACTTCTGGGCTCAAGCAATCCTCCCTCCTTGGCCTCCCACAGTGCTGGGATTTACAGGCTTGAGCCACCCCACCCAGCCAGCGACTTTAAATTTGTCATATAAATCATATAATTATTACTTAAAATATGATGGGAAATGAAATAATTTAGCGAAGAGTGCGTGCACACACACATATTCCTCAGTAATCTTATAGTACTGTATATTTCCTTCCACAGAAAGGTGATTTTTCCAGGTATTTTCCATTTTAATGTAGTGGTTTGTAATATAAGTTGGAGTTTGTCACAGTGAAATAGAAGGACTTTTTCAAGTGTGGACATTGTTCTGATACGATTCTGGTTTAAAATGAACAAAAGGAGTATGTGTGGTCTCAAAACCAATCTGAATTTTAAAATAATTTTATTCCAGTTACATTAGCCATGCAAAACATGTGACTGATAAGTATTGAAAAGTTTGTAATTTGTCAGTTAGGATGAGTGAAATGTGTGTTTAGTCTATTGCTTAGGTATTTTATCTAATCCTGTTGACTTTCAAAAAGCAAATGAATTATTCAGTGATTCATTTTTGAAACCTGGCAAATAAGATTACAGAATGAACGTTCTTGTTCTATAGAATTTGTGAATGGTCTGATAATTCATCATACTCAAACTTTTTTTTTCTCGGCATGTGTGCTTTTGCATTTACTAAAGAGAAGCTTTTTGCAATGTGTCATACTTTTTACCCGTTTGTGTAAGTTGTTTTTCCTCCTGCTTGTATCCAAGTTGGTATTAACACAGATGTTTTCATGAGGGATAATCCCACACCTGTAAATTTTGAAAGTTTGAGATTCCCTCTTCTGGGCCCCAGTGGTTAAGTTTTAATATTAAGCAGTGACATCTTGAAACATCATGTTGATCTCTATGCATTTAATTGCCGTTTGTGTTTAACAGTGCTTCTGTATAAATTAGTAAATGTCATGCTCAGCAGGTGTTTGCTTGAGGGATTTAGAAAGCACCTGTGAATTGCTGAAATTTAACTTCCCTCTCCCCTTTCTCTTTCAAATTAGAAGTTCAAATACAGTCCGAGCATTTCCATCGATTGTCTGTTGCCAACTTGTGCACTACCCTTGATGAATGTAAAAAAATACTTGACTTCGACTGTAACACTAAAATAAGAGAACTGATGTGTTTCTTTTCTGTTTTGTTTGTTTTGTGTTTTTTGCTTTAGGAATGACTGGCAATTACCTACTAACAAACCCTCTTCTTCGACCCCACGGCACTAACAACCCCTATAACACATTGCTCGCTGAAACAGTTGTATGTAATGCCCCTTCAGCTCCTGTATTTAACTCACCAGGTGTGCTTTACTTACGAATACAACTCCTTTACTTTGCTGCGAAACAGACCTCTGGTCTTTGCCCTATTTCTCAAATACACAAGTTGCCATGTATTTATTATTATATCCTTAATTTCTCCATTTAAAAAAATGACGGTATTGCCTATGCCAGGCTTCTAAAACTGCACTATATTATAGTAAAAGCTCAGTCATGATAGTATTTACAATAATATCCATGTTTTTAACACAGGTGGCATAAACCTTAATATATTATTACAGGACTGACATCACATGGTCTGAGAGCCCATCTTCAAGATTTATATCATTTAGAGGTATCCTATCTATATAATCTACTGTTCAGTTAATTCTAAAGCTTGCAGACAAAATTTGCTTCTGGAATGAATTAGCTAATGAAGATAATTTGGATTCCTAGGTTGTAGAAAACCATATCCAGCATTGTCAGTGTAACCAAACTATAGTATAGTGCAGCTTTATGGTAGTTTTTCTTTTTTAATCAAGATAATTTTGAGAATGACGTTAATATTAGTCAGTTTATACCTATAGTTTTTAATTGGGGGAGGGGGAGAGATGGTCACTAACCCATCTTTTATTACTATGTCTTTTAATAGCTTTTAAAAAAATTATATATATAAAAAATATATTTACTTATATTGACAGACTTTTCAAGATTTTGGTAAAAGTAATCCTCTAACTACTGCTAGAATATAATCTTTATCTGTGATTAATATTTGCCACTAAATGAAACACAGAACTTTGTTTCCATTTTTTTCTTAAAGTTCTTTTTTACCGTAACTGCAGCTCTTCTTTTCATTCTCTTGTCTTCTTACTTTCCTTATGCTTTCCTCTAGCAACCTACAGAGAGACAAGTATGGGAGTCAAACTTAACTTTGCCTATCAAATGTAAATTTTTTCAGCATGATTTTTAACGGGCACAATTAAAACATAACTAGCAGTCATGAAATAGACTCAGCGGGCAAGTGGTTCACAATTTGCAACTAAAATGTTACCAAATTCCAGCAGCACGTCCATCTGTGCTGCCTCTGTCCGTCAGAGAGGTCTGTAGCAAACGCGACCATTCTGAAGTACATGCAATGCTGAAACAATTTGCTCCATGAAGCCTAAAGTACTGTCCACCAAAATGCTTAATGATTGACTTATCACCTCTGCATTCCCACAGTAAATCTTGCCTCAGGCTGTGGAAAGTCTTCAAGCGAATTTACCTGAACTTTGGCAGAAAAAGATGCCTCTTCAAAACCAAAGATGTCTTAAATCTGCAGTATATCATAGAAAAGACCTTTGGGGGTTATATATATATGTTTTTATATTTATTAAGCAATGATAAAAAGAAAAGAATATGTTTGAAAAGAGTGGCCCTTTACCGTGGTAGCACATGATCCATGTGTCACCTATAACTTAAAGCACCAAATGTTTTCTATTGGTAGAGCTTAGCAGTAAAGATTGTGGCACGTCTGTAAACTTCCGAAGCTAGAGAGTTGTGTCAACCAAGCTAAAGGAAACCTTACAAATAATTATCACAGCTTCATTTTGTTACACATGGGGCATGATATAAATTTGGTTGTCAGTTTGTCATATGTGGGAGTTGGGAACAAAGTTTTTAAAACTATGACACACTAACAAATATAATCGTCCCCCACTTTCTCATTTTTTTGCTAGTGATAATTTATCCATCAATTATCAGCTATTTATTGGTCATAAAGTTTGTGTCAGACAATATAGAGATTTTTGCTTTCTGAAAGAAATTGAGTTTTCTAGGATATCTGCAGCTTTAAGAGTGGAGTGAATGCTTAAAAGAGAAATATTCTATTTTTTTTCCCAAGAATTAAATTTTTTCCTAAACTCCTCCAAGCCTTGCATACAATGCAGCAGCCTCACAGTGGTCAGTTTCATTTCAATAACATCATTTCATTCTTTTTTTTTTTTTTTTTTTTTACAGACCTATCTGTAGACAAGTGACTTTTTTTTTCTCTAGGATTTTGAGAATGAATAACCTAACTTTCCATGATGCAGACCCTTTAATTTTCTCTTAAGACTTTTCTTTTTTCATTTGCTTGAGAAGCACTGTGATGTCTTAGTTTACATGTTTATGTGTCTTAGAAAAACAACGGATTCAAATAGAGCATGTTCCCATGTTTTTTTCCTCTTAAACCTTTTCATATCTTCAGCAGACTTATCCAGTCTTTCATTCCTTTAGAAATAAAACTATATTAGCCAAGGCTGACACCCTTCTCCCATTCCATAGTTAATACTTATTCTTGATTTAATTTCTGTGACCCATACTTAAGAATGATCTCTCACATTTCTGCGTTTGACCTCCATGGCCGTGGTGTCTGTGGGCCAATCTCGTCCAGTAGACTCTGCTGGCTCATCCGTGCTGTCACTGTGACTGGTGCAGACTGCAGGGCTGCAGGCGAACTTTGACCATGAGAAGCCTGGGGCCATTGCCATTAGAGAGACTCTAAGTACCAAAACAAAATCAAAACCGTAGGAAATATGGAATGAAAAATCAAAAGGCTGCCATTGCTGGTGATCTAATTTGTTGAACCCTTGCTCTGACTAAGTTGCTGAGAAGCTTAGAAATTCTTCATCATGCTACAATAAATCATTTTACTTTCTTTTATATATCAGCTACTCTTAGGCCAGATAGCCTGAGCAGACAGACATGATGTGAGTTGTCCAAAGTGAGTCATTCCACCTGCTGTCTATCGTGGTGTTGGATGGTGCTTGTGGGCCCCTGGCCCCGTCAGTGTGAGAGTTGGCTGTCTTTGTTTAACACGAATTCTTTGTATCTGTCCATTTTTTTTCATTCTTTTTTTTTTTTAACTTCATCTCCAGAAAAAGGAAATGCTAGAATGTTGTTTAAAAAGTTGCTTGCCAGTTATGTGGGTTTATGTTGTACATTTGCCTTTCAGTTTCGTATTGTGACTTACTCCTTTTTAATTTAGTGTTGTTTAGGACAAATTCTGTTAATTTTATTTTGGCAAACCATAGTCTCGTACCTTAAAACGTAAACGTCACTAACGAATTGCTTTGCATTAACTATGCAAGGGCATGGAGTGAAGTCTTAAGTGTCAGAGATTTGACAAGTCCTGCCTCCCGAAATTGATCAAGCATGATTCCGTACACCCTGTTCCTTCCCTGGAAAACAGCATTATTTTTTTTAACGCTTCTTCCTGTCACCTAAGGGGTCGCAACTGTTTACAGTGCGGAATGCGGGAAAGCCTGGCGCCTTCCCAGCGTTAGCTTTGCAAACACAACTTTGTCCTGAACGACATTAAAACGTCTTGTGCTTCAAAAGCAGTCGAGGTTCCCCCGGGCAGCGCGGAGGCAGTAACGGCGCTCCCCCTTTCCCGTTTCAGGACATTCACTGAGCAGTGCCAGGGATACAAGTGCCATGGATACTCTACCGCTAAATGGTAATTTCAACAACAGCTACTCGCTGCGCAAGGGGGACTACGACGACGGCCTGCAGGTCGTGGACTGCGGCCTCGGGCTGGACGACGCCGCCTTCGAGAAGATGATCATCTCGGAGCTGGTGCACAGCAACCTCCGGGGCGGCGGCGGCAAGACTCACCACCTCGAGCTCAGCCTCCCCGTCCAGCCGGCGGTGGGAGGCAGCAGCAGCGAGGACGATGCCATCGTGGCGGACGCGTCCTCCTTCGTGCACGGCGACCACCCCGGGCTGGAGCTGCACCACCAAGAGCTCGAGGCGCCGCTCATTCCCCAGCGGACTCACTCCCTTCTGTACCAGCCCCAGAAGAAAGTGCAGCCCGAGGGGACGGACAGCTATGTCTCCCAGCTGACCGCCGAGGCCGAGGACGCCCTGCCGTCCCCCAACAGAGACTCGCTGTACACGAGCATGCCCAACCTCAGAGACTCTCCCTACCAGGAGAGCAGCCCCGACCTGGAAGAAGACCTCTCGCCTTCCAGGCGGAGCGAGAACGAGGACGTCTACTACAAAAGCATGCCCAACCTCGGGGCTGGCCATCAGCTCCAGATGTGCTACCAGATCAGCCGAGGCAACAGCGACGGCTACATCATCCCCATCAACAAAGAAGGGTGTATCCCGGAGGGAGACGTCAGGGAGGGACAGATGCAGCTGGTCACTAGTCTCTAATAGACGGCCCGGTCATCCCAAGGGCCCCGGGCGGCTGCCCGGGCAGGGAGGACTCCCTCCGCCCGAGGCCGCGCCCTGGGAGCCGGCCAAAGAGACGGGCCCTGCTGACCTGTGGCTCTCCCGTGTAAAAAAGAGGACTGAACCTCGCCGTTCTGTGAATTTTTATAAAACCTGCAGAAACTTTGTATATACACAGAGTATACTAAAATGAATTATTTGTTACAAAAGAAAAGAGATGCCAACCAGGTATTTTAAGATTCTGCTGCTGTTTAGAGAAATTGCGGAGCAGGCGAAACTTTCCAGCCCTTTGGCGGCAGCAGTCTGTGAAGTAGATCTGTAAATATGGGCTGCACCATGTTTTGTAGGCCTACATTGTATTATATACAAGACGTAGGCTTTAAAATCCTGTGGGACAACTTTACTGTACCGTACTGTTCCTGACGAGACTTGGAAAAGCAGGAGAGAGATTCTGCGTTCGTTTGCAGTTCCCTGCAAACCTTTTACGTTAAGGCAAAGATCGAAAACCTGTCTAACCACTAGCAATCAAGCCACAGGCCTTACTTCCTATGTTCCTCAATGTACAATGAACTCTTCTCCAGAGAAAATGGCTAAAGAAATTCTATTTTGTTCTATTGCTAGGGTAAAATAAATACATTTGTGTCCAACTGAAATACGATTGTCATTAAAATAATTTTAAAGAGTTTGAAGAAAATATTGTGAAAAGCTCTTGGTTGCACATATGTTACGAAATGTTTTTTCTTACACTCTGTCATGGTAAGTTCTACCCATCTTCACTTCTTTTCCACTGTATGCAGCGTTCTGCTTTGACGAGTTAGTCTTTATTCTTACATTTAAATTTCTTATTGCCAAAAGAACGTGTTTTATGGGGAGAAAACTCTTTGAAGCCAGTTGCACCATGCCTAGCACAAATGTGGTAAAATCTAGAAGGGGCTGTGTGTTGCCTCTCTGTTGATTCTTGAACAGAGGGCCAAGAGGGCACTGGGCACTTCTCACAAACTTTCTAGTGAACAAAAGGTGCCTACTCTTTTTTAAAAATAAAATAAAACAAATATTACTCTTCCATATTCCTCCTGCCTATATTTAGTAATTAATTTATTTTATGATAAAGTTCTAATGAAATGTAAATTGTTTCAGCAAAATTCTGCTTTTCTTTTCATCCCTTTGTGTAAACCTGTTAATAATGAGCCCATCACTAATATCCAGTGTAAAGTTTAACACGGTTTGACAGTAAATAAATGTGAATTTTTTCAAGTAGTTAACGTGCACTCTTATGTATGATACATGATCAGCTTTAACACATGGGTCCTTTTCCACCCCCTCCCCTCCTTGGCTTAAGTAACAGTGTACTAAAACCCATGGATATGTGGAAGGATGCAGTTAAATTGCCAGTGGGTTCTTTATGCTGAGAAGAATATGTGTATTCTAATTAGCCACTACACGCACATGTATGTGGCAGATAATTTTCAATAGGGAAATATTCTGAACATATTTTTGTTTGTTGCATTACCCCAGAATTAAAAAAATACATGAAAGAAAAGAAGGGTTAAAAGTTTTGCCATGAAACATTAGGAATATCATTTTAAACACTTTGACTTTTTAAAAAATTGCTTTTTCTGCAGTATTGAGAAATTTCTAAAACATGACTTTTACAGTTGAGGATTATAAGTATCCCTAACAGACAGCTGTGAATGACATTATCTGTTATGGAAAGGTTTTACTCCATGTTCAAAAATTATATAATTGAATCTCAAGAAATAGATTTTTTTTTCTGTGTACATCATAAGCATTTATACAAAATTCTCCTTAAGCTTAATGGTTCTCTCAAATACTTCTACCAAGTTAGAAGTCAATTTGAACACACTTAGTCATGCCTACTGAATTTTTAAAAAGTAATGAGGAAAAAATTAAGTATATATTTATATATCTAAATGTGGACATGGGCAGACCTCAGTAATTAAATATTGTAGACATTTAATGGCATGGTAAAAACCAGGAAGGGTACACTCACATACAGTTATTACCCAACAAACTGGAGATTGATGCTATCAGAAGTTATATTAATGTTCAGACAGATTTAGCAATGCTCTGAGGCAGCTACTCATATTTCTTCTGCTACTAACATTTTTCAGGAATTCGTGAAAGTTTCTTTGCTAAAGGAGGACGTTACATAAGTAAACATTCCTATTTTCTATCTTGTTACGCTTTTTTCTTTTAATGCCTGACACCTTACAATATATACTTACATATATACACACATATATAGATATATGGTATTTACCTCGCAGTATACAAACTACCCAGAGGCAAGCTGGCTTATCAATAAATTGTTTTTAAAGTCTGCATTGATTATTCAGTTAGCCCTAGTTCTTTTTCTTGAGGCGCTTCTCAAACTCAGATCTGACATGAACAAGTGCAGAATAAGTAAATGGTTAATGTTCTCTTAAGTCTTTGTCCTGTAGATTCAATTTGGACACTATCATTCATCTTTGCCACCAAAAGAAGAGTCATTTTTAAAACCTTTTGAAAAACATATCCCTGTTGCTAGGCACAGTGACTCATGACTGTAATCCTAACAGTTTGGGAGGTGGAAGCGAGAGGATTGCCTGAGCCCAGGGGTTCGAGACCAGCATAGGCAACTTGGGGAGACTTCGTCTACAAAAAATCAAAAAATTAGTCGGGCGTGGCAGTGCACACCTGTAGTCCCAGCTACTTGAAAGGCTGAGGCAGAAGGATCACCTGAGCTGAGCAGGTTGAGGCCGCAGTGACCATGAGTGTGCCCCTGCACTCCAGCCTGGGTGACAGAGTGAGGCTCCAACTCAAAAAAAAAAAAGAGAAAAAAATTAGCCAGGAGTGGTAATGTGCGCCTGTAGTCCCAGCTACTGGGGATCACGCCACTGCACTCCAGCCTAGGTGACTGAGTGAGACCCTGACTCAAAAAATAAAAGCTTCAATGTTGCCTTAAAATCCATCTAGGGTTCCCCCAGTACAATGTAGTTTCTTAGGTTTAAAAGTATTAATCTACTGACTCTTTCAGTGCTGATGCATGTACTTTGTGTATTAGCTCAGTTTTTTTGGGTCTGCCTAGATGTCACCTGGATATACAATTTCCACGTCATTGATTGTTTCTCTTTGTGATTGTCACAACTGTGAGCTTATAAAGTCACATTGTAATTCTTCCCAAAGATAGCTACTCTACTAGCCTATTAATACTAAAGGTATTTGTGTCGATTTATTTTAGATTTGACTTGATTAGTCCAGCTTGACCTTTTACTTATTAAAAATGCTTCTGTCCTATTTGACAAAGAAAAAAGACAACTTACAGCTTATTATCTATATCGATGTGTATGTTCAACTTACAGGCTTTTATAATCCATGTGGAAGAGAATTCATACATGTTTATAAATCATTTAAATATGTTGTCAAGTCTAAGTTATCCACATTTGAAGGCAGTTATACATAGCATTTTAACCAGTAAAACACCAACAATATTATTGGACAGAAAATCATCACTGTTTTCTCCCACAGAAGAAGCATCATGTGTAAAGTCATTGCCAGATTTCAATAGAAAAATTCTTGTGTGTGTGTTTTTTGGGTGTATTTAGAATGCTTTATGTATTTATTTCAATGATAAAGGAGCAAAGGTCTTTTTCCACCAATTCAACCTTGAACTCCAGACTTAAAACTGACCTTATAGTATGGTCTTTTGTGATAGGGGGTTTTGTAGAAACATTTTTAACTCAGTCATATTTTGTATTACAGTCACAACCTTCTAAGTAGAAAAACTTGAAAGGATGCATACTCGTTGAATTTCTGAAATGAAAACAGCTCTTCATATTGTTTTGATTCTGAAATCACCTTTCAAGACAGTATTCCCTGTAGTGCTTCAAAAATAAGACTTAGTACCGGGCCAGACGCGGTGGCTCAAGCCTGTAATCCCAACACTTTGGGAGGCCGAGGTGAGGGGATTGCCTGAGTCCACGGGTTCAAGAACAGCCTGGGCATCTTGGTGAGACCTCCTCTCTACAATAAATTTAAAAAGTAGCCACGCGTGGTAGCACGCACCTGTAGTTCCTGGAAGGCTGAGAGGGAAGGATCGCCGGAGCCCAGCAGGTCGACATTGGGGTGGCCATGAGCGTGCCACTGCACTCCAGCAAGGGCAATAGAGTGAGACTCCAACTCAAAAAAAAAAAAAAAAAAAGACAGTACCAAGAGTTCACACAAGCCAGTGCTCCGGATGTTTCTCTTTCCAGGAAAATCAACCTCAAATGTCAGTATGAGATGTTACTGGCACGTTGAATACAGATGAGATTTGCTTCCCAGCATAATAAAGTTAGTATGTTTGTGGGTGAAAATGCCATATCACATGGTTTCTGCTAGCGAGCGTCCAGTTGATGCTGTGTGGTTCTCAAAGGGCATACATAAGCAGACTGGGAGCCTTCGTGCTAAGGCATGAGTGAATGTGGGTTTGGAGATGTGAATTTTTTGTGACGTCAGTTTTATTCTTTTGTCAAATGATCATAGACGCACATTATTTTAGCTCATTTCACCAAGCAGAGAAATTTGAATGTCTAAGAAGGATATCTATCACATTTTTAACCAAGTACTTTTTACACATTACTGACACCTTGTTGCAAAATGTATGGGATTACTGGGAACTCCTGAAAGTTGTCCAAGTTTATTTCGAGGCACTGTAGTCTCCAGGCTTTCCAGGCCAGCATAACAGATCAGATCTCTGTCAGAGGGCATTAATAACAAGCTGTAAGTGCACCATGTAATTAGACTAATTAAGGGTACTGTAAGCAATTTTCAAATGTTAGCAATAGACCTCTCTTCATCTCTTAATAAGGCTCCTCCAAAGTCTTCATTCTTTTTCTTTTTCTGTTTTCTTTGGAGTTGGAGTTGGAGTCTCGCTGTCACCCAGGCTGGAGTGCAGTGGCATGCTCACAGCCACCACAGCTTCGACCTGCTGGGCTCAGGTGATCCTTCCTCCTCAGCCTTCCAAGTAGCTGGAACTAAAGGCAGACACTACCACGCCCAGCTTATTTTTTTAAATTTTTATTATAGAGGCGAGGTCTCACCAAGTTGCTCAGGCTGGTCTTGAACCCCTGGGCTCAGGCAATTCTCTCGCCTCAGCCTCCCAAAGTCCTGGAATGACAGGCTGAGCCACCGTGCCCAGCATCATTCTTTTTCTGATGGTGTTACTGAGTGTGCAGTTTCCCAGAAGTCTTCAGAGTCCAGTTTGATTTTTAATGCCTGTTGACTTAACTGGTGCATTTTTTTCAGAATGAATGCATTGTGAACTGCTATGGGGTATACTGGCATTTAATATTATAGATCACTATGAAATAAACAACAAACCAGGTAACTTAATACAGTTGAGCTCACCAAAATCTTTACCTGCTGTGGAAGGAAAAAAAAAATGCCCCATGATCATTTCACACATTATTATGTACTTACTGAAGCTATAAGACCAAAATCTCTTAGAAATGTTTAAAAGGCACAGTTAATCTTAAGCAAACCAATGTTGTGTGAGCATAAGAGACTAGTGATAAATGATCAATCTAGGAATAGTCTTCTGAGTGTGTTTTTTCACAAGCATTTTTAAATCCTGTGTTAGAACTAAGCTTTTTAAAAGCATTGTGGCAGTCAC